TTACAATTAAAAATGAATAATATTTTTAGTTTATTTTGTCAAGTAAACAACGGTCAAGGAACATGAGTTTACAATCTCTGATCTATATGTAAATATTTACGTCATTACATGATATTAACAACTTTTTAGAGCATCCTTCTATCAAACAAAGCCATCACAAAGTCTCCAACGACTGTAGATTGATCTAGTATATGGAGACAAAGATGAACCTTGTTCCTCCGGCTGCTAAGCTCCAACGATGGGGATTCAAGGAGAGAAAGCAGTTCGTGACCAACGTACCAACACTACCAAATTGTCATCATTCATCACTACTATGAATCCAAAACAAAGCCGATTTTCTGAGCTACCAGATAAAAACATTATTATATTTCAAAAACAGCAGAGAAATTGATTTACCTCAAGAGCAACACAATTTAGAGTTCCACATGTTGTCTTTAAGAGAGTAACTCCCTTCAGATCAGAATAAGATAATTTAGTTGATAACAATAAACCGCGCTGTCATGGGTTATTGAAAAGAGAAATCTTTGTTTCTGGATTATGTATACCACTCCACACGAATCAGATCCATCATTTCCGTTGACTCATTGTCTCATAAGTGAAGTCGGTTTTAGTGTAAAAGCTCTTTGATAAAAGTAAACTTACCGATAATGGACCTTGATCTTATCCCCTTTGCTAGCCTGAGTATCACATTTCTGAGGCTTGAACTGTAAAAATGCACAAATTAAAGTAAAGGTGCAGAAATTTAATTCCATAACCAAAAGAGTATGGAAGCAAGCCGAGTTCGATTCCAAATTCTTCATTAACAATCCAACGTAAAGGGCAGAGAATATTAGAAAACAAAAGCAAAATCAAAGTCATCTATTGTAGATCGATGTAATTGCAAAAGACTGAAATTTCAATGTAAACTCGTAATGATCATGACCATTGTCATCTTTTAATCACGTAAACTGAGATATCAAATTCAATCTCGCCAACAGAGGAATATGAAATGGAAATTCAAACGAACGAAATTAAACTCCGATGTAGAGAATGTGAAAGAGCGTTATATACCTTGACACCAGTCTGCAACTCTGTCACATCATGATTTCTTTGCATAAGTTGTAGATCATGATCACAGAAACGGAGATCAGATCGATGGATTATTTTCTGAAATTCTGATCGATCAGATATCAGATAGGGAAATAAAACAGAGAGAAATTATGATCTCAGAACCAAAACTCCAACAGATTTCATGGCGGATACAGGGCTCATCAGCATCTTCGATCTCTCTTCTCTTAGTCACTAATTATCCCGTACATCTGTTTTTAGTTTATGAGTTTGACAAATACCAAGTAAACATATTAATTAGCTACTATACCAATAATCTCATGATATTAACCATTTTATCAAAGCAGCCGTGTCCAATGAAGACCATAAAAGACCGTTGCTTGAGACTACCAGCTTTGTCTCTAACTGCCTATATAGTGAGAGGATTCAAAAATTCAGACGTGACTTATAACTTGCACAACCAGTGTTAGATCCACTATTTCCTGAATAAAGAAGAAAGAAAATGTAATACTTGGGGGGGTTCATTGCATAACCAACAAAAGTGAAGAAGGTAACAGTATAAGAGAAATATTCCAGCTTTGGTTTCCACCTAAGGGAAATGGTGTTCCATGGGACAAACAGAGAGAGGGAGAGAAAATAATGAAAGGGAGGACAAAGAACCTGAGAGTGAGAGCCTTGTTCCAGTTTTTCAATCCACTCGAAGAGTTCCAATAATGGGAGAGCCCTGCCTCCTGCAGAATATGTGAGTATAGAGAGAGAAGCGGAGAATAATGAAAAATCCAAATTTATATGATGCAGAGAAATTGGCATTTTGTGTTGGAATAAAAACCCTAATTTGTCATCGCCTTTCACTTACAGTTTGACATGGAAGGTAGTGAAGAATCACATGAAGGGACTTGAAAACTCAATCAACGGAGATGAAAATGATCGGGAATATAAAAACCTTCTCTCCTGGATTGCGAAGAAGAAAGATGTTTAATCGGCAGAAGAAACGTTTTCTTCGGAAGTGTGAAAGGCAATTTTTTGATTTGCCACGTGTCCATCTGTACTTATATTTAAAGAATTAAATTGGTGTGACGTCGTTTTGACAATTTTTTTTTCCAAACCAAGAAAAGCTAGTGTCGTGAAATCGATTTGGGGTTTCTTAGGTGATGATTGGTTCTCCCGCTACCACCCGCAAACGCAGCGTTTGCGGTTCGTAGCGGTTCTTAGCGTTTTATAACAATCACGACAACCGCTTTCAACCGCTCTATACCACTCTGTACCGCTCTATATCGCTGAAAATCAAAAGCTCCTTTCCGCAAGCGTTTGCGGTTGCGGGCGGTTGCGGTTTGAAAAAAAAAAAAAAAAAACATAATATCTCCAAATTTGGAATAAGGGTATATTTTTTTGAAAAATACCATAATTATGTTTAAAAATTTCGAAAATACCCTAAATTTTTTCTGTTTTGAAAAATACACTTTTAAAATGTAAAAAGTATGTTTTGACGTGATTTAAACAAAAAAATAATAAATAATTACAAATTATAAACGAAAATTTAAAAAAATAATAAACTAATAAGTTTTTTTTCAAATAAATATAGTATATGTTAAACTGAAACAAATTTTAATATTTTGGATCTTTATATAAACAACTTAACCTCATACACATTCAAACCAAATGAAACTTTAAATAAATTAAAACTTTACATATATTTAAAGTTTATAAATTATTAAAAATTTAAAAGTGGAGAAATATATCTTTCATTTTTAATGTTTATCTTTTGAAAAATTTAAATATTTTTGAAACTTTGCATAAACAACTTTAATCTCACCCCATTTAAACTTTATATAAACAATCTTATATTTTTATTAAATTGTTTAAAAAAAACTAAACAGGTAATTAGGATGTTAAAATGATACAAAATTATTATCAAATATTAATATTTTATATTTCTTATTTGAATTTCGTTTTTATTAAATTAGGAATAATCATTTTACATATAAAAAGTGTATTTTTCAAAACCAAAAAAAAAGGGTAGTTTTCAAATTAAAAATTCATCAAAAAATATATTTCAAAAAAAAAATTATTAATATGGTTATAAATGTTTTGAATAATTATATATTATTTTTATTTTAGTAACTTTTGGTTAAACCGCTCTTGCACCCGCTGGCTAACCAGTCAAAAATATCCCGCAAACGCAACCGCTATGAATTGCTATACCAGTCGTACAAACAGCTTTTAATCGCAAACTCCCGCTTCCGCAAACTCCCGCAGCCGCAAACTCCCGCAACCGCAACCGCAGCGGTTAAACCAGTCAGACCCTTACTAAGCACATCCCCAAGAGTGATTTCAGATTAATCCACCTATTCAGTCAGAAACTAAAGCTAAAACAAAGTTAATCCAGTTCTTCTAACTAAGATCGCCAATAGTCTGATTTGGGTAATTTCACTTTGCGTGAACTGATTTTTATGGTTTTCGGTCTTGAAAATTCAAAGGTTTTTCTCTTTCTTTCACTTCAGTATCGACGAATTCGTCGAGCAGCTGTGCAACGCGGCGGAGCTAATCGGAACCACCGGAAACATTAACGGCGACCACACCGTTCTCGCGCAAGGGATATTGGCGGCTCAATCACCATCTCAACGGGAATGAGAAACCTCCGTTTCAGAGAGCGGCCTCTCACATCGCCGAAGCTCTCCTCTCAGCTCTCCTCTCACTCATCAACGACGCATCACCACTGCTAGTCACGCCGGAGAATCCTTCGAAGCGTCGCCGAGGACAATGGCGAAAAACAAAACGTCGGAAGCCAAAACGATTTTAGTTCGTCCGTGTGTTAATTTTTTTTTCTTTTTTTTTTAATTATTTAAGATGCTGCCACATGTTTTTTTTGTTGAAAGAATTTTTTTTGACAGGTATCACTCAATTGGAGAGTGATATCCTCTCATCTTATATATAATAAGAGGATAACTCTCTCCCGGAGAGTGACACCTCAACATTTTAACTTCATTCTGAAAATGCCATGTGGCATCTCCTTACTAAAAAAATTATACTTAATGCTACGCTTAGTCATTTCACGGACCCGACGATCTGAACCGAAGTCGACTCTAAAAAACCGGTTCGGATCCGTGACTATTACTCTATTGGGTCTGATTTTTTTTGGACCCATGAGTGTCAAGTCGGTTTTAACCCAAAACCCAAAACCCGAAAAGTACCAAAAAAAATTAGTTATTTTATGTTATTACTCATATTAAAAGAAATAAAAGAGTAAAAATATATATATTGGGCTTAATGTTCAAAAAGCCCAACAATAACTATTAATGCACAAATGAGATTTTGTTCTTATATTTATAGAAGGAAACTTCTTTGCTTCACTTGCTTTGTTTCCGATGTGGGACAAAAATAAAAACAAAAATTAAACATTATAATTTATCCCACATCGAATTTATATGATTGGAAAACTCATAACTTCTTCTATATAGATTAATATATTTTGATTCAATAATCACATGCAGAAAACATATTATAATAAATCAGAAAATCGATATATTTTCAGAGTTTTGCATTTAAATTTTTGTTTTCACAGGTTTTGGGATAATGATTGGGTTTTTGGTATAAAAAACCCAAAAAAACTGACCCGAATGAGATCCCAAATTCAGACCCGAATAAGAACCGAGGATCTAAAAAAATAGTCCCAGACCAATCCAAACCCGACATAAACCGAACCAAACCTGACTGGAAGCCCGAACGCCCACTATTGCCTCTTCACACTTCATCTTGAAGCCGAACCGCCATGATTGGACCAATCAGAGGCAAACTACCTAGAACGCAATAAAATGTATAGGAACCTTAATTACCATAATCGCTTTCATCCAATAATTTATAACTTTTTTTGCTTTTCTTTTACCATAAAATGTATTGTTTTGCTTTTCTTTTTTATCAGACCGGCGAATCATTTAATCATATCAACGAAAGCGATGCCGGAGAAGGAGAAGGAAAAAGATCCACAACAAGAGATTAAAGAAGAGACTAATTTGTTGCTTGATGATTCTCATCCCTACAGTGAATTGAGGCTGCGGAAAGTGACGGCGAGGGTGCGGAAAAGGTCTGATCAATGTATTCAGATCGAATCTCGGTGGTTGGTAGCAGAATCAGCTCGAGGTTCGATCTATTCTCAAGACTACTCTCTTGCTCGATGATTCTCACCCCTATAGTGAAATGAGGCTGCGGAAAGTGACAGAGACGGTGCGGGAGATGTTGATCCATCTGTATAAGTGTGGAAAAGGTCTTATCGATGCGTTCAAGTCGAATCTTGGTGGTTGGGAGCAGGATCAGCTCGAGGTTCGAACTATTCTCGAGAAATATAGATTAAAATCCATCTTTGCTTTCAACGTTTACAAATGTCGCTTCGAACTATTCTCGAGAAATATGGTTATTTATCACCCCAAAATAAAATAAAATATATCCATAACCCAAAAAATACTCAAAAATCCGAAAAAAATATATTTGTAAATACTGGAAATATATCTGAAAATCAAAAAAGAAATTGAAAAACAAAAAAACTATTATTATTTATAATATCAAAAATTATCTACAATATCTATAATTCAAGTAATTTGGGTGTCGGATTACCCAATATCCATATTACCCAATACCCATGGCTATTAAATATTTACCCAATGGATGATTTGCTATATATCCAAATTCAATCAGGTACGGGCATTTTGGGTCGGTACGGTTTAGATTTTCGTGTGGAGGTTAAAAATCTCAGGCATACCGCAAACATTTTACAAAATTTGATTATGGAGAAAACAATTAAAATATAAATAATAAAACTTTGTAATAGTCACAACCCTATCAAAATAATCCTATTAAAAGAGAAAACACTATCAAAATAATCTTTCTCTCATGTGATATTAACAAGAATGTCATGTTTATATGTCATCACGAGATTCACTCTCAAGACAACTTTTAATTAAGATATCACTTACTAGAATTTTTACATACAATGCCATTAGTACACTATTTTTATTTTTATTCGGTTACAAATATTAAAGATTTTCATATATCTTCCATTAAACAACATAAACAATACATGAAATAATTATTATAAAATATTTCAAAAATCGAAAACTGATATTATTATTTCAAAACTAATAATATATAATTTTTCAATATATAAGATTTGTTAACATATTCATTTTTATATAAATATATAACCAGTTGATCTTTATTTTAATATACTTCCACTTAAAATAATAAATTATGTAAAAAACTTTTATTATAAAATTTTTTAAAAATAAATAACATATATATATATATATAATTCCAAATTAATGATACAATTTTGTTCTTCAATATACTGGATTTCTGAGCATATATATATATATATATGAATATATAATGAATTTAATTGTAAACATGTTTTTTCCAATAAATAATTTCATGCCAATTATAAAATCATTTTACATTTATAAAAAATAATATTTGAATTTATATTAGAGATTTTAAATATATGATAATGTCACCAATAAATATAGCATCTTATATGAAAGTCTTTATATTATGAGTAGATTCAGATAAATATTATGTTCCCATATCTATATTTATAAAGTTCATGTGATTCTCTTCTCAAGCTGCCACCTCAGCAAATGAGGGTGGCTCTAAATTCATCATTTCATCACAAACATTTAATATATCATATTTTCTCTTTTTAAAACTTTTATAATAGTTATCATTCATTAAATAGGTTTAACAAGAATGTGAAAAGTCATTTACAAAAAGAAGAAAGATTTTATATAAATCTATAAAAACTATTATTTAATAATAATTATAAAAATAAAAATATATTATACAAAAAACACTGTTTTTTCTATCGTATGTATTTTTGAATGAAAAGAGACGAGATTGAATATGACGAGACGAAAAAAATAGAATCAAAGAAAAGGGGAATTTTGTTTACTTCTTATGATATTAAAGACGAGACGAGATCTAAAGGAACCGAAAAGAACGGAATATGACAAGACGGAAATTTTGCCTACCACTAATTATATTTAGGGGTGGAACGGAAAAAATATTATGAGAGAGGACAAGACATAAATGTTGGACGGGACAATATGAAAAGAAATGGAATGTGACGGAATTTTGCATATCCCTAATTATATTTAGAGATGAGTCAAAGATAAAACAAAATGGAAATGAACATAATCTATGATGAGACTGGATGGGGCGGATATAAGGAACTGGATGGGAAAGAATATGACAAGATGAAAAGGAACGGAATGAGATAGAATTATGTCTACCTCTAATTATATTTAGGAAACGAGACAATAATAAACAAAATGGAAAGAATCGTAATGGGATAAGATATGACTGAATAGGATGGGACATACAAGACGAACGAGACGGGAAAAAACGTACATGATGAAAATGGAACAAGATGGAACGAAAAGTTTGCCTAACTCTAATTATATTTTAAGTAATATGTATATAATATCTTCGAAACAATATTAAATTTGCGGAAAAACAATAAAACTAACACAATCCGCACGTAGCGTGGGTCACCCCCTAGTTAACAATAAATTCCTATAAATCAGCTAGCCCTATGCAATTCGGGTTTTGGGACGGGAATTGACGGAAACGGGACGGGGATGAAAAATTTGGAAACCAAATATAATACCCGAAGTATTTCTTTATTATAATGGGACGAGAATGGGAATAGGAAGGGAAGGGAAATTTGGGAGTACAAAATTCATACCTGAAGTCTTACATAATCGGGAAAATTGGAGATGTTTCGGGAAATTATGGGAAAATTGGGATATTTACAAAAAAAATATCTAATTTTCAAATTTTTATTTTTTAAAACGGGAAAATAGGGAAATATCATACTCTTCTCAAACCCGTTTAAATAAAAGAAATGTTCCAAAACGGGAAATTGCAAATTCTCATTCCCGAAAAGTTCGGGAAATTTTAAACGAGTAAGGGTGGGAACATGATTCCTTTCCCGGAATGCACATTACTAAAATCAGTGATATATTATCATGTCTTTTCGCAATGATTTTATTTAATACAGTACTAAACTTATAACGTTAGCAAATTTGAATTGATTTCGCATAATATTATTTTTGTTTCCAGAAAAGGAATGAAAAAACATCATACCATATTTAACAGTAATGATTAAAAGTAATAAATACAATATTATCAATATTTTAAAAAATAACAATTTAAATGTAATCATTTGATTTGTTATTCTCATTATCTTATTATATTGTGGTCATTTGATTCTTTTTGTTCTCACTCAATTTTATCACCTGTTAATTATTGAAATGGCCAAAATCTGTTTTTACCTTCTTAAAAAAATATTTAAAATGTTTAATTTCCACAATAAAACGAAAACAACAGCAAAACCATTAAATTAATATGTGGCATAAGATTTCGAGTTACGTAAATAAACATTTTTATGTTAAAAAACATTAGAGTAAGATAATACTCCGTGTAGAGCGCAGGTCAAACCCTAGTAAAAGTGATACAAAAATCATTGTCTACTATCATAGATAAAACTGATACAAATTTAGGGCGTGATTGGTAAGTGCCTTGAATGCTCTGCGGAGCAATAATTTTTTCTAGAGCACTAGTGTTAAACCAATCAAGCTTTGATTTTATTTTTTAAGTTCAGAGCCATAATTTAATATATGGAAATATTTTGGCTCTGCAGAGTAGATTATCCAGAGCACAAATTTAAGGACTCTGAGAATTTTCTCTCTTCTCATTCCTTAATCTCATTCTCTATATTCCTTTTTAAATGTTTATTTCCTATATCTCTTTTATTTATTTTTAATGCTATATTTATGATATTTTATAAAAAAAAAATATTTATAATAAAAATTTCTACAACAGTAAAATCTACAGTCACAGCAAAAAAAATCTACAACCTAAATTCTACAGTAAAAACTCCAAAACTAGCAACCAATCAAGCCCTTAGGATCAACTATATAAATGACACAAATACTAACATTAGTTACGGCTAAATGATACAAATACTTACATCACTTGTGGCTAAATGATACTACTCATGCCATCAATTATAAGAACTGATACAAATTTTCCCATCATTTACTCTAATGAAACAAATATTAGTATGTTTATTTTGAATGATGCTATTTCTACCATCACTTATCTTAAACGACACATATTTACATCAGTTATAATAAATGATAAAAATTCATTTGCAAAAACGCATGCAACCAGAAGGGATTCCCTAACATGGGGCTACACGAAGAATGGTGAGTATACGTCCCGTTCGGGTTACAAACTTTTGGACATTATTCACGATTTGGATAACCCTGTCCCCACCCTCTCTCCCTTGGAGAAAGAATTGTGGTCCAAACTATGGAAGGTCAGAACATCTCCTAAACTCCGCCATTTTCTTTGGAGATCCCTATCTGGTGCCTTGTTAGTAAAGGACCGTCTACGTTCCCGTGGTATCTTGATTAACAGCACCTGTGGCTTCTGCTACTCTGGATCAGAGACCATTTGTCATGTCCTCTTCACATGCCCTAAAGCAAAAGAAGTGTGGGACTTATCTCAGATCCCATTACCGCCAGCAGGGTTTTCCCGGAACTCTACCTTCCTGAATCTGCATCACCTCTTAATGTGCAGTAAGAACAGCTACATTGCCTCAAGCACACGTCTTAGGTTCCCGTGGATTTTGTGGAATCTCTGGAAAGCTCGGAATTCTCTGGTATTTGATCAACTCCATTATACTGCCTCGTCCATCATATCAAAAGCCAAGGAAGATGCTGATATTTGGCTTAAGGTTGATGCCCCTGAGCTTCCAATCCCGAAAGTTTCTCCTTCGTATCCTCTTATGGGTACTTGGTGGAGAAAACCGTCACCAGACTTTGTTAAGTGTAACATTGGCGCCTCTTGGTCTCCAGATTACTTCACTTCTGGTGCTTCATGGATAGTACGTGATCATATGGGATCGGCTCTGTGCCATCGCAGGAGATCTAACGCCATGGTTCGATCTGTTACAGAAACTGAACTCTTTAAGTTTTTATTGGGCTATTGAGTCGCTGAAAAACTTAAAATTAGGAGTGTCATTTTTGAATCTCCTTTGATCCATGCGAGAGAGGCATTGCTCCATCCTCTCCAGTTTCCCAAGTTCCGCTCCCTTTTGGATGAGATCTTCTCCCTCCTCAGTGGATTCAATTCATGGAGCCTTGAGCATGTCCCGCCTGTATGCAACTGTACTGCTAATGCCATAGCTATCAGTGTACTGCAGCACAACATGTATCAATCTTACATTGGCAGAAGTGGTCCTGCATGGCTACGGCACCTCATAACTGGAGAGGCTTCCTTGGGTTAGTCCATGACTCTCATGTCACTTCTAGTCGAAGAAAGTGCATGTGGGGTTTCCATGCCTTATGCGGTTTTCTCCTGAGGGTTTTACCTTTGCGCTCTACTGAGCCTTCTCCTTGTTTTTTTTTTCTTCTTTCCTTCGTTTGCTCTTTTGAGTTTTCTGTTTATCCTAGTTTCGTTTTATAACTTTTGTATGGAACTTTGATCCCAGTGTTAAAAAAAAAAATTACTGACACAAAGTATTAGAGTCATCACTTCCACAGTCATCATTTACAAATGATGGAAATTCATCATTAAAGAAATAATAGAAACAACAAAAATAAATGATGCAACACACACGATTTCTTGTAGTGAACATATACTTTAGCTACAGTGTTTCCACAAATCAATTTCGATTACAGTATTTAGGTTTTGAGGTTTTAAGTTTTCCGTTTAAGAGAGAAGACTTATGGGTCGGATTTAGGTTTCAAAACGTCATATAATTCAGGTTCAAGTGTTTAAAATGGGCAATCACTATTCTAAGCCGTGTTTTAAATGCGAATTGATCAATAGGGGGTAAGCGACAGAAATCGGTGGCGATAGACTGAGTGAAAAGAATGGGTGGATCGCGGCAGAAACAATCAAACTGCCGCGGGGGGGGGGGGGGGGGGGGGGGGGGGTCTCGAGCCGGCAGTCCTATGTTTTTATGTTGTCTAGTGAATTATTTTTCTAAAGTTTTCATTTTCGTGGCTACTTAATATTTTCAAATTTGGAGTAATAAAAACGTAACAAAAAAATAAGTACAATATTACCCTACATAAAATCGACTATTCACATTTAATGTTATCGATATTTATAAGTTATGGGATTATTTTCGCATACTTTACCTCTAGAATAAGTCGCTTTGCCTTCTCTCTAGAGAAATCCGCCGTCGTCATGTTGTGGCCGGCTCTGGTGGCTCCTACAGCGCCAGAGTCCGGTTTGCTTTGTTTCTCTTGCTTCGTTTTGCCTTTTTCTTTGGTTTCCTCTATGGTTCTCTTTGGTTGAAGAAGATTTAGGTGTTCAAGGGGGTTTCACCTCCAGATCTGTTCAGATCTAGGTGTTCTTGAGGTTGGTGGGTCTGGATCTGTTAGATCTTCGGTCAATTCCCAGGTTTCTCCTCTATGGTCCTTAGTTCCTGCCAGATCTGGTTTTTCACCTCCTTTCCCTCTCTCGCTCTGCGCTTCCATGCTTCGTCCTGCTTATGTGGAGTTCGCTTGGGTTCTGGTTTTTCTCCGGTTCGATCTTTCACCTTCTGAGCTTGGTGTTATCCGGTTTGGTTCGTTTGCTCCATGCCGCTATCTCACTTCTGATCGAGAGCTCAATCCGCGAAGGGTACTTCTGCCAGTTAGGACTTTTTGGCGTGTTGGAAGGCTGGCGTTTTGAGTTGTTAGGTAGTTTGTGTTTTTTCAGGGAAGGGAAGCTTCAAGCCTCTGCGCCCGTAGTCTGTGACTTTTCTCTGGCCACTAAAGGCATTTACGGTGAGGGTGAAGTTTTTATGAAGGTTCTCAAGAAATTTGAAGCAGGTCTTGGCAGCGCTTTAGTTTGAGTTGATTCGGTTTTTCGTTTTTGGTTAAACCTCTTAGATCTTTTTCTTTCTCTTCTTTAGTTCCATAGTTCTTAGTTTGTTTATTGTTAGTTTCCCGTGAGTAGGTTTAGTTTCTGGTGTTTGTCGTTTTTCACCGGCTTTTCTTTCGGAGTATTTTCATCTCGTCCGGCTTATGATTGTCATGGGTTTATAAGTTTGGTTGGTGTCTAACACCTTGTATTCTCTCAGCTCAATATAATTCTAGATGGAAAAAAAAAGTTTAGCATACTTTTCTTGGTCAAATGAATAATTGTAGTACAGTTGTATTTCGAAATATCTGAAAGAGAAAGAAGAAGAAATTGGTGACGTGCACATTGTATAGCTAGATAAATTATTCAGTGATCCTAACCGTCCATTTCTCCACAAACCGCTTAATCGGACAGCTACAATAAGCTTTGATCCTCTGTAACAAGACTGGACCCGATCCATCATAAAACACAAGTATTTGCTCAGTTCAAAGCGAATCGGTCTTCGCCTAGAAACTTGGATTTTCTTTTCTTCTTAAAAAACCTTTGAGAGATGGGGAATACGTATTGTTTGCTCGGAGGTTGTATTGATCAAGCAAGCGTTGGTGTAGTCGAACGTTGGGGCCGATTCGAGCACATTGCGGAGCCTGGATGTCATTTCTTCAACCCTCTTGCCGGTCAGTGGCTCGCCGGAGTTCTCTCCACCAGGATCAACTCTCTCGATGTCAAAATCGAGACCAAAACTAAGGTTTTTAATTTCATCCTCGCGATCACCTATTTCGCTACTGTTTCGTCTGCTTGATCGCAAAGGAGTATAAATATGAAATTTCGGTAGATTATAGACTTGAAGGAGTATTGATTGATTTGGGAGGTTTTTCATCCAAATTTTGTTTGACTATTATGTTGTTTCGGAATTCCTTGAAAATAGGTTTTGTGTATTTGCAGGATAATGTGTTTGTGCAGCTGGTTTGCTCGATTCAGTATCGTGTAGTGAAAGCTGCTGCTGATGATGCGTTTTATGAGCTTCAAAACCCAAGAGAGCAGATCCAAGCCTATGTATTTGACGGTATTTTTGCTTTCTCTCTAAATCCTCTTTTTTTTTTTCTTTTTCGAATAAGCTCTCTCTCTGATTTCTTGATTTCCTTCAAATGTATGCTTGTTTCCAATCAAAAGTGGTTAGAGCTTTGGTCCCTATGATGACGCTAGATGCCCTCTTTGAACAAAAGGGAGAAGTCGCCAAATCTGTGCTTGAGGAGCTCGAGAAGGTAACATGTTGTTAAATCTCATTCATTGGTTCTGTGAAATCTTTTTCCCATGGTAGGATAGATATCAGTTGTGAAATGGAGTGCTATTTAGTAGGTTATATCTGGATTGTATAGAGAAAAGTTATATGATTGGAATTGTTTCTTCAGGTGATGGGGGCTTATGGATACAGCATTGAGCACATTCTAATGGTTGACATTCTTCCCGATCCCTCTGTACGCAAGGCCATGAACGAAATCAATGCAGGTAAGCTTTATTATTGATTACCATGCTTTGCTTTATACCGAAGCAGAGAATGATATATACTTCTCTCTTCTCAGACTACAGCACACTATTGAATGCTTGTAAATATTTCATTTTAGTTGGTTACTTGCTTTCATCATCTCATGGGAAGTTAATTTACACTTTGATGATGCCTTCATTTCTCTTTTTTTGCGCCTCCCTACTTAAATGCAGCACAAAGGCTCCAGCTAGCGAGTGTTTACAAAGGAGAAGCAGAGAAGATTCTCCAAGTGAAGAGAGCGGAAGCAGAAGCAGAATCCAAGTACTTAGGCGGTGTCGGGGTAGCTAGACAGAGGCAAGCAATCACAGACGGATTGAGAGAGAACATAATGAACTTTTCTAGCAAAGTAGAAGGCACATCAGCCAAAGAAGTGATGGACTTGATCATGATCACACAGTACTTTGATACGATGAGAGACCTTGGGAACTCGTCGAAGAACACAACCGTGTTTCTCCCGCACGGTCCAGGACATGTTAGGGACATCAGCGACCAGATACGCAACGGTTTGATGGAGGCGGCCAGTGCTAATGTCAGTGACGCCTAGATGGGGAGAGAATTCACTTTCGGGTTGTGAATTGAATCCACTGGTTTTGGTTTCTTTGATTATGGTTTAAATTATGTTTTGCCAGTCTGAGGTGTGGGGGATTCCTTGGATTTTCCTATTATTATTATGGTTTTCATGGTGATATTTGGTATTATGGTATATAATAAGGGACCTCATGTACTTAAAAGCCTTATAGAGAGGAACATCAGGAAAACTGAGCAGACGCCCGATATAGCATGGTTTTCGATTATTTGTTATTTTTTGTTTTTGAGTGGTACTCTTTTTATACCATAATCTATACTATATAAAAGTTGAGGCTATAAGCCTCTGAGAGCGTCCACATAGGATTATAAAACGCGATTTGATTGGTCCACATAAGTATTTCCTAGATTAAGAAAGTTTCCGAATTTTAAACAACCAATAGTATCAATCCACATCATCACATAAAATTAGCTATTTGTTCAATTAGTTAAATTCCTTTTTATATTTTTATATTTTAAGAAAGTTTCATAATTCAAAGTTAAGCAATAGGAAAGTTTCCAGAATTTATAAGTGTAATATTAGTAGAGATATGTAATAAATAAGAAAATTATACCAACAATATCATTATATATCAACATCTAAAGCTACAATTGTATTAACTCGATTTTGATCAAATGTAGCTTACATGAATAAACATATGTTCACGTCAGAGCTTGATATAAGATCAAACAAATCCAACATCGAGAAACCACCTGGAAGCAAGATGGAGGGATATATATTGAAGACAAGATACTTTGACATCACATATTGAAAGTTCACATAGATCGATCAATTCTTCTAAAGGATATGTAGTGAATTAATGAAAAATCATGAAGCAAAGGAATGATTGAAACGAAGACAATGGGCATCACACTGAAGGTATACATGTCCTTCTGTGAAATAAATAAATTCGCTTGCTTTATTTCGAATATTATCTGGTCTATGGTGTTCAATTGATTTTCTTTGTATTTTGATAATGGAAGCACATCCAATTAATTAATAAATAAGTTACATTACCACAAAATAATCAAAGGACTATGAAGAGAACAAGGAATCGAAATTACCAAAGTGTAGATTAAATCAAAAGTGAATTGTTGCTCCTAAATTAGTAAGCTTTCGATGGGGAAAATAATATTGATTATGAAGAAACAAAAAAAATCAGAATAGATTACATGACACAAATTGAAAGGAAAAGGCAAACACAATAGAAGGCTGTATTTTGTTCCTTTTCTATTTTTCTTTTCTTCGTTTTTCAATGTTTTGTAATATTTACATATTCATGTGTTTATAAGTAGTACTTTTAAAAGATGTCACTTGAAAGAGAAGGAATATAAACAAAAGTAAATTTATTAAAAACAGAATAAGATAAATTCCTTCTCATTTTAGTATTTACATATGACATTCAAAGGGCCTGTTTTGAATATATTTTGTTCAATAAGTCATTCTAGCTTGATTTTATTTTCAGTTTTTCAGGTAACGAAATTGTGTTTTATTTAATTATAATTTATTCTAAATTTAAGAGGAATAGAGCCATGCAGAATTTTACAAGAGGAATGGAACCATGCAGAATTTTAAGGGTCGAGAATAACCTACAGAAATAAGAGAAAACAAAATGAAGAAAAAAGTAGACACAAAAAAGAAGAGTACCAAGATAAAACCGAAGAATAGCGAAAACAAAGATATTGAATTGCGAATACAAAATAGAGACAAAAGAAGACAAAGATGAATAAGGAAAAACCATATTAAAAACTTGTGAAGAACAATTTGAAGAGGAATTCGAACAAGAACGAAGGAGAAGAAACCTAACAACAACAAAAAAACTTGCGAAGACCAATCTAAAGAGGAAATAAAATAAGAACAAAGGAGAAGAAACCAAATCAAAACAAAACAAAAAAAAAGAAGAAAAAAAAAGAGCAAAGACGAAGAAGAGCAAACGCGAAGATGAGTGAAAATGAAGAAGAAATCAAATAAGACCAAAGACAAAGAAGAAAACAAAACATAAGATACTGAAAAAGAATGAATCAAAGAAAATTAAAAAAAAACTTTAAAACAACAACGAAGAAGAAAATGAAGAACAATTATGTGTGTCGACTAGCTTCTCTTCATTTAGGTTTTAGGTTTTATAACCATTGAAAACTTACCAAAATATTAGTTTATCATCTAGCTTAAATTTATTACATACAAATATTGTTATTTATAGCATTTTAAGTTCTAACATAACCAACTGAAGTTATTTTAAATAAACATCATGTTATATACAAATATTATTGACATCTAATTTTAAGAATTTCACTAAATATATTTAAAAATATATTTCTGTTTAGAAAATGACTAACACGTCACAATAGTTCATAAATTAACATTACATTTTACAAATAAGTTTAGTGATAAAGTAAGTTTGTCCTATTATAATGATTTGAATATCTTCAAGTAAGTTTTGGTCATTAGACATACACAAACATTTTTGTTACCGGGATATGATCTAAACAATATTTTTGTATGTCAAGATTTGATCTCAATACGATATTGATATATCTAAAAACTTTTGTTTTCCAGAGAGTTTTGGTATTGAAATATTGATAAATTTTAATTGTTGATTTTTGCAGTTTAAAAAAAAAATTAAATATATTTTAAACTGATTTAAGATACAGACCCGCGCGTGCGCGGGTAAAAGTCCTAGTGGACATGAAAAAGAGAGATTGGAAAGAACTCAGTCTTTTTACGAATGCAAGATATATGATTCATATTTTCATTTAGGAAACAAAAGTGTGAAAACATCTTCGATCTAACTGATTTTCAATTTTGCGATTCCTTAATATTTTTCAGAATGAAAATATGCAAGTTGCAATGTGGTTTCTATAACTCGAAAGAGAATATTTTCAATTGACCAATTCAATTTAACAAAAAAACAAAACAAAAGAAGAAAGAATTGAACAATCCTGGTTTGGTAGTAATTTATTTGGATTCGTCTAGAATCGGCTTAACTTGTTTACTCTGTGTAACAATAATAAATACTTGTAAATTCATTACTGAAAGTTTTAAACCAATGAAGAAAAAAAACATCTTGTTCACAAATTCACAATCATGCTTTAATATTAGAAACCCTTTGTTAGTGTATGAGGTTTCTCACTTTCAACAAAGCTAAGGAGATTCAGGATGAGAATCACATAAGGAATTGAATCTGATTTGGAATAAATATCTTAATCTTCTTCTTGTCTATCTATAATTGTATGAATGTCTCAAACCGTGAATCCATTTCATTTCCAGTGGACGATATTCTCAATTTGCCAAGCAGCTAAGCTCGAGTAACTTGGTGTATATACTGGATTGGTATGAAGATGAGCTTGTTTTGTTCTTCTTTGGTCACTTTACAGGTGGAGCTGTGGTCTTAAAGGTACCTAACTTTGTACCTTTTGAAACTCTCTTCAAAAAATTTATTGTGTTAGAGCATTTCCAACCCACCCTTATGATCACTCAAATTTAACATTTACTTATTTGCATAATGATTTCTCAAATTTAACTTTTTCATATTTTAAACCTAAACAAATTATAACAAATTAATTATTTTCTCTTGTTTTACTAGAATTAGTCATGAAACATTATATTTTTAATGATGTAGTTTAATTAATTTTTGGGTTTTTTCTCACAAAATAAAATAAGTGGAGCTAATTTGCAAAAAAACTTATAAATAAAAGGTTTTTTTTAATAATTTTTTATTTACAATATACCAAAGAATATTCTTTTTAGTGTAGAAAATAAGGAAATACACTGGAGAGAAACATCACACTATTATAAGGAAACACTAAAAATAAAGCAGAAAATGAGGGAATACATTGGAGATGGTCTTAGGGCATCTCCAACAAGCCCTCAAATCCTCAAATTTTGTGGTTTTTGGCATCCCAACAAACCTTCAAATCCTCAAATTTTAAGTTTTAGAGGTTTCACTATTCAAAACCTCAAAACTATTTTTCTTTTTCTATTTGATCCCTATAATTATGATTTTTGACAAATTAGTATACTAAACTTTAATTTTGAAAAAATAAAGCACATTAAAATAAAAATGAGGAAATGATATGTTTAAAAAAAGTTCACTTAAAAGAAAATATATCAAACAAAGTTTACACAAAAAAAGTTTGTGTTTATTAAACAAAGTGTGTTTATGTTTGTTTAATTATTATAGATATGTAATTTATATTATCATGTAACTAATATTGTATAATATGGTGTATTGTATAACAACATAATAAATAATTCTATATGTTATATAATATATTAAGTGTATGTTTTAAATTTATTTATGAACTTTTATCATTTTCGTTAATTTTTGTTAAGACTATATTACAAATTAATTAATTTTTAAAGATTTTTTGAAGATTTGTTGGAGCAAACTACCCTTAAATCCTTAAAATGAGATTTTGCTCCCCCTCAAAATTTGAGGGCTTGTTGAAGATGCCCTTATAATGTCTTGATTTATGGTCTAGCTTGTCTTAGAGGCTGCTTCATCTCCCTCTGTTGAAGATGCATTAGCCGGTATTGTCCTAACATTGCCTGCACTTCGTGTCAATCCAGCTCATCGTATTGATTATTGTCGAGGTAAGCCAAGTTAAATTCTTTTTCGTTCTCTGTTGGCAAATTACGAAGAGCATTTTGGCTCATTGGGCCTTTATGGTTATTTTAAATATATATATACTAGTTTCATACGGACATTTTAATGTGTAAATGTGATGGATTTTTTTTTTTAAATAAACTTTTTACTATATATGAAAATTAAGAAAAATAATAATAACTACAAGCAAATATTTACAAATCTAACAAAACGAAAAGTGTAAAACATTTCAAGGTAAACTGAAACAGAATACTGTATATCTATACATATTATTTTATTGTGTTAATCCAAAATTTACTTTTTTGCAGTTAAATGAAAAGATGATATATGATTGTGTGGATATATATAAACAACCTTCAATGAATCATCCACTAGTACTCCAAAATCATAAAATTCAGGTATAGTCATTAATCAAACAAAAAATTTGAATACTTTTTGGTGCAAATTATTTTTGAATAATATTTAATATATTTTAAAAGTTTACATCTTTTTATCCTTAAACCAAAAAATAAAATTAAAAAGGAAAATAAAAGTAAAAAAATCATCGAATGTCCTAAAGGAACAATTCCTATACTAAGGAACACAAAAAGTATGTCCAACATGCTCAATATTGGGAAGAAAAACACTTTAATAGGTTCTCAGCTGAAAGTCATGGAGCACATGTAAGTAAAACAACTTGAAATTACTTAAATTACAAATATAATTTCCAACATATGTGATACAAATTTTAAATTTGAAGTATGTGGGAGTTGCAGTCCAAGAGAAAAGTCTTCATCGTCTGGCAACTTGGATGAGTGTGCATGATTTGAATGTTAGTAAGGATCAAGCTTCATTTTTTTTTCTTTGACAACAATACTTCTCATTAATTGAAAACTTACTCCCTTGAGCTATTAAAAACTCGAAGGGCATGTTTGACTACAAAGTCAGCTACAACATTATCCACCCTAGGGATAAACTTACATTGAAGAAAATCAAAAGACGAAATGAGAAGAGCTATGTCTTTGAGGATTACATGCGGCTCCAGCAAGAGAGAATTCGAGGTGATCGCTTTGATTAGGAGGGCTTGCCTGATTGCGAGGGCTTCCGCTACAAGAGCAGAAGAGACATAAGATAAAGCCGAGGAGTAAGAAGAGACTTGCCCTTCGTCGGAATGGAAGATCCATCCGAGTCCTGCGGATCCAGCTGAGCGAGGTTCCGCTAGCCAGGCTGCGTCAGTGCAACATGTGATTGTTCCCTGTGGCTGGCAAACCGGAGGATGTCTGATCGTGGATCGAGAAGACTCTGGTGCAGTACTCAGGGATTGAGCTAAAATTCATTCCCTTGCATCCCGGATGGCTCTTAGGATTGTTTCATCTTCAGATAAAGTCCGATTTTCAAAGACTTTCTGATTCCGAGTTATCCAAAGAGCCCAACATATACAAGGGTAAAGGAAGCCTCTATCGAGGCCTATAGGAGGTAAGGTGATCAAGGATTGAGCCGCCTCTAGTCCTTGCATGACATTTTCGCAAATTAACGGATTAAAATTCAGCGAAAAATGAGACCGATTCCAAACCTCTTTGACAAACGGACAGTGAAAGAGAAGATGGAGGATCGACTCCGTCTCCTCACATCTGCAACACTTTGGGTTCACCGGAATACATCGAGCTTGTAACTGGACTCCAACTGGTAGAGCTTTCTGGCAGATCTTCCATAGGAAATTTTTTACTTTAGGTGATGCTTTTACTTTCCATACATGGCAGGGGAGTTGGATTCTTCTTCCACTAGCTCGGCGGCCGTGAAGTAACCCGATCGAGTGGTATATTCACCGGAGGGGTTGTTTAGCCAGCGTCGCTGATCTATCACGCCAAGTTTGCTTGATCTATCACGCCAAGTTTGCTTGGTTTTAAGGTGAGAATTGCATCCTTATACTCAGGGAGAAAATTATTTATCTTCTCAATGTCCCATTCCGTTGATGCGGGTTTCATCAAATCTGATACTTTCAGCTCTTGTGCCTTCTCAGGGACAGGTCCCATTGGCTGGATTGGTTAACTCAGGGAAATCCAAGGCTCGGACCATACATTGATGGATTCACCTGTTCCAATGACCCATCCCAACTTTTTCTTCATCAATTCATTCCCAATACATAGGATTCTCCAGCCATGTGAAGCAGAATTTGGGACAGAGCTTTCTAGGAAAGAAGAATGTCTATGGTATGTTCCGGCCAAGGTACGAGCTAATAGACACTGGGGATTATTGAGAATGCGCCAACTTAGTTTCGCAAGTAGAGCTTCAACATTTCATGTCTTTGAAGCTCAATCCACTATATTTCTTTGGCTTTGCCATTTTTTGCCAGGCCACCCAACACATCTTTTTGTTTTCATGGGAGGAGTTCCACCAAAATCTAGTAAGAGTCGACTGGATTCTCTTATAGAGAGATTGCGGGATCTTGAAACAAGACATTGCGTACGTCGGCATAGCTGAGAGAACACTTTTGAGCATGATCATCTTTCCAGCCGCTGATAGTCTCCTTGTAGTCCAACTTGAAGTCTTTTGTTTGATCCTATCCACAATGGCTGTGAAGAGATCTTTTTTTCTCCGACCAAAGTGTTCTGGTAGTCCAAGGTATTTGCCAGTTCATCCCTCTTTGTCTATCTTTAGAAGTCCCTTGATTTTGGTTCATGTATTCTGGGGAGTTTTGTTGGAGAAGGATATGGAAGATTTCTGAAAGTTGATCATCTGGCCCATGACCATAGCGTAGTTATCCAGAATCTTGTTTAATTCTTTACAGCACTTCACATTTGCCTTGCAGAAAAACATGGTATCATCGGCAAAGAGGAGGTGGTTTATTCTAGGACTTTCGTTTGCCACACGGAATCCTTGAAGCTTTCCGGTTCGTTGTGCTCGTCGACAGAGGCCAGACAACACTTCACTGCAAAGGATAAAGATATACGGCAAGAGAGAATCTCCCTGTCGGATACCACGAGAAGGTACAATGCATCCTCTTGGTGCTCCATTGAAAAGGTTTGAGTATGTTACAGTAAATATGCATTGCATAATCCCTTCAATCCAAATAGCATGAAACTCAAATCTTTCCATTACCATACGGGTAAAATTCCACTCTAGTTGATCATATGCTTTGCCCATATCAGTTTTAACGGCCATAGAGCAAGAAACTTTAGCTTTTGAGGTTTTGAGGAAATGTAGGACTTCATGGGTTATTAGAACATTATCCGAGATTGCTCTCTTTGGGACAAAAGCTGATTGGTTTTCTGATATTAGACTTTCTAGAAGGGGTTGGAGCCGACGGGATAAGAGCTTTGAGATTATCTTATAGCCCACGTTACAGAGGGCTATAGGACGATAGTCTGCAACCTTCTTAGGACCAGTCACTTTTGGGATTAAACGTATATGAGTGTCAATCAGGTTACTGGGCATGAGACTTGAGGCAAAGAACTCTTGCACTTCTGCTACGATGCTGGGTCCCATGATGTTCTAGTTTGACTGAAAGAAGCTTGTGGAGAAGCCATCGGGTCCAGGGGCTTTGTCTGGATGGATAGCAAACAGTGCATCTTTTAATCAAATCTCTGTTAGATGCTTCTGAGACGATAGGATCAACAGAAAGATTGATAATGTTTCGCCTTTGCCCCTCGTTTGTAGGTATAGCTGAGAAGAGATCTTGGAAGTAGTCTGTAATAACCTTGATCATAGCTTCTTCTTCAAAGACCATTGTTCCTGACTCATCCTCCAGGACCGAAAATTTATTTACTGCAAACCGAGCTCTTGCTGATGCATGGAAGAAGCTGGTGTTGTGATCTCCTATTGTAACCAGAGTTGACAACTTCTCTGTTTCCAGAAGGCTTCCTCATGGGCATACGCAGCTCTGAGATCTTCATTGATTTTTGCTAATCGGGTTTTATTAGGTGAGTCACTGCTCATCTCTTCATCTAGCTCTCGCTTCAGCTCTTCTATTATCTTCTGGCTGTTTAGCTGTTGGTTTTTACTCTAGGTAACAATAGCTTTGCGGCATTGGTCTACCTTCTCCTTCACCGTTTTATTAGTCTCATCTGTCCACACTTTTGCCACTAAGGTAGTAACTTCTTCATTCTTCTTCAGTTGCCGATCATATCTGAAGTTGCCCTTTTTCTTTTTCCTTTTTGGATCAAAGTATGACACTAACGGTCTATGATCAGAACCTTCATATCGTAGGTATTCACATCTTCCTGACGGGTTAAGTTCCGCCCATTCACTGTTTGAGAGAGCTCGGTCTAGTCTGCACCGGACTAGGTGGTCATTTCGCTTTCCCCGCCAAGAGAATAGATTACCTGAGTGTCTTAAGTCATAGAGATCTCCTTTTGAGAGGAAAGACCGGAAATCTCCAAACGTTCCTTCTGCGCGAACAGGTCCTCCCTCTTTTTTTGAATTATCAATGAAATCATTGAAATCTCCTGTTAAGAACCAAGGGGCCTCTCTTAAGGTATTTAGATCCAGGAGATAATCCCATGTTTGTCTTCTATTTGCTCTTTCGGGATCTCCATAAACAAAAGTAGAGTAAAAAACTTTGTCTTCATAGATAATTCGAGTATCAAAGTAGTTCTTACAAGAAGAAATAACTTCTAGCTTGATGTCTTGTTTCAAGATTAAAGCTAACCCTCCATTAGCTATGTTATGAGGAGATACGAAGACGTGGTGATGATAGTCCAGGGGTTTGACCTTGCTTAAGACAAAAGCATCGGGATTTTTAGTCTCAGCAAGAAGATGATATCCGGATGAACTCTTTTCCGCATCTCTTGGAGACGACAAATTGTCATGGGATTCCCTAATCCTTGACAGTTCCAGCTTAGGATTTTTAAGGAAGAGGAGAAGACGGATTGTGAAAATCCGAGTTCTTTTTCTTAATGGGTGGGACAAATGCTGCCATAGCTGGGGTTTGGGACAATGAACCACCAGGCTTTCTAGCATTTTGATTTAAGGCTCTTGCTTTCGTTTGCCGGCCCGCCCTTGGTGATGCTGAGGATGCCCTTTTCCGCGGTGATTGTGCTACTTGACGAGCTTTTCTTTTCTTTGAGGATCCAACTAACGTAGGGTTTGTGCCTTTTGCAGTTGTTTTGGATCCTACGGGTCATCCCGTCTTTCTTTTGGTAGATGGGTTAAGGGGTTGAGAGGATGTCACCAGATTGGTCGATGAATCTGGAATTCTTGGGCCGAGGCGTTGTGATGCTGGGATTTTCTCAGTTGACAGGTTTTCACCATCTGGTTGTAAGTAAGCATGATGCTTGTTAGATGATTGTCGAACCACAATGGCTGCTCTGACCATCTGTGCCGCCGCTTCTTCTCGCTGGCCTTTTTCTTCAGCTTGTCTTAACCGCTCTTTCCTTGCTGCACTTTCATTAGGATCCACAACAGATGCATACTGGATCATAACATCTCTAATTTCTCCCATGGCACTATTCATTGCTTCCTGGGGTAGAGCTTCCGGTGATGGTTCTCTATCCAGACGAGGCCTTCTCATTCTTGAGCTTCCAGATGAGACATGAGGCGAACGGACAGTCTCTCTATCTTTCTGACCATCTTTGGGTTTTTCTTTTTGAATCCAGTGTTGCTTACTAGGAGGAGAAGGATAGTGCCTCCCATGCTCTCCAAGACGAGCAGAGTGAGAATGGAATCCTCTAGAGTTTTCATAAAAGTTTCGAAGGTCAGTGTGACAGTTACTTCCCCTCGGAAAAGCTTCTCTATGAGTTGGGGCACGAAACTCCCTTTCTCTCGAGTGGGAAGGGGTTTGGTGAAGTTGAAAGCCCTGAAGAGGCCTTCTCGGAGGGTTAGGAATGTCTCTTCTTTCTGCTCTTCTCCTTGGGAGATCTGAACTTGCACTGATTGTCTTCGTCTGAACTGCTAACTTAGAGGTTTGGTTCTGATTTGTTGGCATAATCTCAGATGGATCTGTTGGTATGAGCGGGCAGTCCTTAGGGTCATGATCTAAGCGGAGGCAGTTGGTACAGTGTTTCTCTAGTCTATCATACACTAGGATTGCCGCCACTTCATCTCCATTCTCAAACTCGACCATAAAAGAGGAGATAAGAGGTAGGAGCCCATCAATGAACACCCTCATCTTTGCAGAGGATGAAGTAATTTCGCAGGATTCATAGATTCCGGTATCGTCAACAATACTTTTCAGGGTTTCTTCCGACCACAGGTAAAGAGGTATGCCTTGGACTTGGATCCAGATTGATTTTAGCGAGGGGAAAGACTTATCCGTTGTTGGTTCCCATCTTTGTAGTATTAACATCCAATGTGTGTAGTGGTAGGGCCGGTCGTCCAGCACTTTTTGGATGTCCTTCTCTGAGGCGAACTGGAATTGGAAGAGTCCTTGTCCGAGATCTGAGCCTACTGGTTTGGAGGATACTTTCCAATGGTCGGTGAAGAAAGGGATCAGGGACCACACTCTTTGGATCTTAGGGTTAGTTATTCGACCAAGCAGGGTAGGGAATGTTTCTTTATCAGTGCTGAGTTGTCAAACGGTGGAACCTCTACTCTAGCTTTGCGGGGAGGGAACAGATCCGTTGCGGGGGCTTTTCCTTTTTCCGAAAAAGATAGCCTTCTACTCATGATGGTCAGGTTAGAGCTTTGGCTACAAGCCAAGGAAATCAGGTTTCGGTTTGTTGGTGGAACCGATACTACACCTAAGGGTGAGAAATTTACTACAGATCTGAGAACTTTACTGTCGCTTAACACGGGACAGAGTGGAGTAAATGACCTAGGTGAAATACCAGGTAAGAGTCATCAATGTTATTACAAAAATCATAAAGATCCTTGAGAGGGAGAGAGAGACGTTCAGGTAAGGGTATTAAAGCTTCCCTTGCCGAGAGTATCTTGGTTGTTGGTGGTTGAAGTTGACTTCATTCTTGACATCGGCCTAACTTGAACGTACCGAGTCAGGACTAGATACCCTCCAAGCACTTCTGGGAACCTGGATACCTCAGGGAGGAGCTGCGGGAGGGAGCCCTATCCTACGTTTCATAACTTAGCGTTGAACAAGGTCAGGGGGAGGCAAGGAGGACGCCGGAGGCCGTGGGACTTGACCGGGAAAACGCAGATTTGTAAGTAGATCTAGAAAGTTGGGGTTCCTCAGGAAATGTGTCTGGGAGAGAAGTCAACTTTTCTAGGATCAAGCTTCATATACAACCATATATGTAGCCAGAAATGTCAACAACAAAGTTAACTCTATCCAGACCGGTTGGATGGTAATACTAATGTTGATGCTATTTACTATAATTTTTTATATGATTTGATTTTTTTTTAAATACATTAATTTAACTTATAGGTCAATCCAAATTTATTTGGTGATGGATGCACATGGAGTTATGAATTTTGGAAGGTAAAATTTGTTGATGGGATATATACATTCTTTATCACGTTCTGTATAAAAAAATTATTACAAGAAAATGCAAATTTTAACTATTTTTCAGTTACCATATTGATAGGGTCCCGCTAATGGAGCAGACTGTTATAATACAAAATGTCCTGGTTTTATTCAAGGGTCAAAAACTGATCCTTTAAGTGCGCCTTTACCTAATCCTGGCAAAGGAGACCGGACCATTTATGTTAGTCTTCAACAGGTATATTTTATCTACATAACAAATACTTTTTTTCTGTATATTAACTAATCTAACATATATGTCTATATATTAAAGGATAAAAAATCAGGACATTGGTGAACAACACATGTAAGAAATTTTGAAAAGATATACATGTTGGTTATTGGCCAAAAGAACTATTTAATGTTATTAGTAACAGTGTCGACAAGGTTGTAGTTACATGAGCCGTTCAGGCTTCTCCTTCTGGTATAAGTCTACCAATGGATAATGGTCATCTACCACTTCGAGATGAAAATGCCGCTGGCGTTAAACACCTTAACATCGTCGATAAAGATTTTTTAATCCAACAGTAACAAATATAAATTAGAAGAAATAGGGGATGCCTATCAATGTTATCGCTTAAAATGGGGAAAATGGATTGTCGTCAAAGAATCCAATTTATTCCCATTTGGTGTACTTGGAGAAGACTCAGAACAAAATTTGTTCATATATGGTGGACCTGGAGGAAATTCTTGTGGAGTCTAATACCACTAAGTGATGATTCTGTTTATCCTGTTGAGTAATTTGGGATTCATGTCTTAAATACTTTTATTTATGTATGAATAATTTTTATTTTCTGCATGTGATCTATAAGTGTGTTAGTATAATGTTATTTCGTTAGTTACTTAACCAATGCATCATTTCAGTATTTTATTTGGTAAATTATTAATTATTAATTGTCTAATCTTATACTCCCTCAGTTCCTAGTTGATGTTTTAGATTTTGTTTTTATTTCTTATTATTTGATGTTTTAGACGGCACTTCCAAGGGCCCGAGGTCAAAATTTAAAATATACTTAATTTCTTAAAAAAAATTGTGAGTTACTAAATAAAAAAACCTTTAAATAGGTAGAGAGGTGGTGTCAAACTTGGATGGAGGCCCTTGTAATATACTTCACTCCTCTTAAACCACCACACTACAATTGGTTTTCAGGAAATGGAGGCCTTTTAAACTTATATTATCGTTAGGGGCCTGAGGCTAATGCCTTTTTCCTAACACTATAAGCACAGCTCTGGTTTTAGACTATTAAATATACTTTTTGTTAATAAATGTCACAAAAATGCAAACTTCAAGAGAGTTCTATAATTTTTATTGGTTAATAGTTATTTAAAATGAAAAAGTAATACATTAAAAGTTAAAACATTAATTGTTTCTTAATAGATATGAAAACTCTAAAACATTAAGGAACGGAGGGAGTATCATTTCGAAGAGGCCATGTTGTACGCATGTGTGTACTTGACTAAAACGGAAGTAGAGAAAAACATTTAATGCTACCTGAATTCTTTCTCCACGTGAATATTTGTATGCTCGAATTTGTCAAACTTCTCCGATGCTATACCAAAGTGGGCGAGAGTCATGTTCAGATCCGTCCCTGAGATCTATAAGGTCGCAAGCAAAAAAAAATTAAAGGGCTGTCTCATTTTCTGAAAAAAATAACAAAAGAAAGAAAAACAAATTCTGCTAGAAGCATAGTTCAAATCAATGATATCTTACCTAAAAACACAATATTTTACCATTAGACTACAATTTTATTTATAAAATACGGCCGAAATTTAATATATATATATATATATATATATATATATAAAAGCAGGGCTACAACCATGAGTTTGCTTTGCTTGCTGCCTCAAATAATCTCTTTGCTTCTCTGTTGCAAAGTTAAAGCAATAGTTTATACAAAACTAAGCAACTTAATAAATGTGTATATACTCCTTCTGTTTCATAATAAGTTTCATTTTACAATTTTTTTTTGCTACAAAATAAGTGTTATTTTCAGTTCACTATTTATCATTCATTTCTATATTTTACAATTAATTAAATAAGAAAATATTAGATATTATAGAATTTTTATAGTCAAATAATGGTAATATTAAACATTAAACTAATTTCTTAATTTGTGTGAAAAATGTCAAAGTGACATTTAATATAATACGGAAGAAGTATTAAAGTTATCATAAAAACCTGAGTGGATTAAAAGACTTTTTTGTTAAAAACAAGTGAAACGAACTAATAAAGAGGTAGTTAATGTTTTTGTTAATAAATACATTAAAACCTACTTAATGTATCTGCATTAGTATTGTTTTATTAGAAAAGTGAGGTGAACCAATAAAGAGATATTATCTTTATTTTAAAAAATACCGTTAGACAAATGTCTAGAAAAAACATTCTTATAAACCCATATAAAAAAATGAAGTTTTGTTTATCTATTTAAAGGATTTTATAAATTTTATCTATAATAATTATATATATATATATATATATATATATATATATATATAAAGTGAAGTCTTTTCTCATGATGCAAACTACAAATATTAAAATTTGACATTTATTTAGTTAATTATCTATATAAAAAAAAAATAGAAGGAGTCTCTTCTTCTTAGACTTCCACATTATCACAAGAGAGTTTAAAAACTTGACACATAACAAAACACGAATATAAGTCTTTCCATTGTCGTGGCTACGACTCCTATGACAACAAACCCAATCACTAAGCTTTTGGTATGTCTTTGGATTGTTAAATCAAACATTAAATCGAGCAAGTTCGGATACAGTTCACTAAGCTTAGTAAATCAAATGTCGCAATTTAAGAAGCTTAGCTTGTCAAAGATTATATCCGGCGAATGATACATCAATGTTGTGACTCAAATCAACCTAAGATCGAATCACTAGATGTACGGTAAAGTGATTAGCATTAAAAAGTGTGCAAATCGAGACAAAGACTAATGATATCCCTAGTTAATCCATCAAATCATAATCAATACATGAACTCTTTGAAATCCTAAAACCTAACTAGAAATCTACTCAGACATGATGCAAGTAAACAAGCACAAATCAGAGAAAGAAATCATATTATTATAAGGAGAAAAGGTTTTAGGAATCTTCTCTATATCGAGAAACAAAGGGATCTTCTCACTAATGAAAACAATGAGAAGGAAGTAAAATAATGGAGGCTCCCTCTAAGGGGAACTCCCTAGTGCGGTGATGTAGTGATGCAGTCCGGTGAAGCTCTTTCGTATATGTCTTCACTATAATAGACATATATCCCAATCTACTTGGAAAAAATGAGTGATTCCAGTTGCATTGCAAAGCTAACTCTTGTAGGCATCTCGGCGAAGTGGATTTGACGAAGTTCATCGAGTATAATGTTTTTAAGGCCTTTCTAAAGTTGATGTTACGCCATGGAGCAGTCTTGAAGTCCAAATCTTGTGTTTTGCTCTAAAATGCATATTTTGACCTGTTAAGACTCTAAGTAATATAAATGAATGAAAACTATATTTTTAGATCAAATAGCCATTAAAAACCTTATGAAAAACATAATAAACCATATAAAAAACATGTAAAATAGAGGTATATCAAGCTACCAGTCCCAACACAGGATTCAGACCAACCACAGCATTCCCAGCCACATTCCCAGTGTTCTTTTCCAAATGTGTATTTTCAGCAGCAACATTGTTGTGCGAGTTTTCACCCATTAATTCTCCCCCATTTATTCTCGAGTTACGACCCTTAGCCATCTGCAATTGTACAGTTCAGTAAGGTAGCCGCACGACTAACTTCAAATTCCCAGACAAACAAACAATCTTCCTGCGAGACAACAGGCTTTGGATGGATGAATTTACCCACTAAACCACTTATGCTAAACGGCTGTCCTAGAACCGACCATGCTTTTGATACCAACTTGAAACACCATAACCCAATTTTCTGTTCTACTTATACTTACTCAAATTTTAGTCCAAGTTTTACTTAACATTTTCCGCGCTATGAGGTTCAACATGACAAGCCATTTTTATGCATAAGTAATTAAACAGAACATTGAAACTTGAATTAAACAAATCAGTTCTAGTCACAATGAAGGATCGCTATTACATTGAACAAACTAGACCGCCAACAATCTACCATCTTTTCTTCCTACCTTAGTTCCGGAGGTACTTGCATTTTACATAGTTTTAGCACATCTTTTATACATCTTTTGCACATCTTTAGCTTCCATTAGTATCATATCTTGTTCATTTCCCCTTCTAATGCATACACTGTAGTTTTAGGTTGCATTTGCATATATGTGCATGTTTGATCCTTAAACAGGTCTATTTGGAGCACTATGGAGCACTTGGGACGTGGGGAGCAAGGAAGGACATTGTGCATGGAGCTCATCTTGACTGCGTATGCTCGGAGTGAAGGAAGAAGCCGCCTTGAAGCCAGCTCGACCAACCCGCGCGACCAACCGGTCGAGCTAGGCCAAATCCCAACTTTGCACTAGCTCGACCGGTCAAGACCAACTCGATCGAGCTGCGGAATCAAAGTCAAACCCAAAAAATGTTGTTTCCCTTTGACTTCTCCTTTGACCCTAAACCTAATCCTTTCTCTATTTAAAGGCTTATAGCCACGAAAAAGAGAGCTCTCTCTTTTAGCCTTTCTTTGTTTTAGCTTTTAATTAATCTTGTAATTTGCATTTCATTTAAAACTTTAGCCTCTCTTTGTGTTCTTGAGTTCTTGCTCTTGAACCTTAGATCTAGGCCTTATCTTTGTATTTCTGCACTTGTCTATTTCAATAAAAGTTGTTTAGTTTCATCTCCTCTATCTTTTAATGTCTCATTCATTGCATTTATTCATGTATTTCGCCATGTTTAGTGAGTAGTTCCCTTTAGGGTTTAAGATGGGATAGGTTAGAGGTTGTTTATGCTTAATCTCTCTTGCTCTATGTTCTTAATCTAAAATCTCTCTCTTTTGGGCTAAGCTTAAGGCTGCACAACCACTATCCATGGTGTGTATGAGTCTAGGCGATTTTCCTCATGGGAATGATTGGGAAATCGCTTGAACAAGTCCACTAAGAGCTCCAACATGCTACGGGACTAGCATCAATATGGATGGATAAACCACATCAAGATCCAGCTACGGGACTAGCAACGGATGAATACTCAACCGGTCTCAAAGAATTCATGGACTTTGCATCAAACCAAGAGATAACCATCGATTCGGGTAAGATGTTCTGTCCATGTTCTAGGTGCGGAAATCGTAGATTTATTGTGATAGATAGAGTTTAGAGGCACTTGTATAGTAGAGGATTTATGCCGGGTTATAAGATATGATATTCTCATGTAGAAAATGAGGATATGGTGAATTATGCTAGTACTAGTGAACATTATGTTGTGGATAGCTTAGAGGAACCAATACCGGAACCTGTAAATTTAGGTACTGTTAAAATGGTGAACGACGCATATCGGGAAAATATAGCGTCGTTCTTTGTTGATGGTGATAGAGTCGAGGAACCTAATTTAGAGGCGCAGATGTTTTTTGATATGTTAGACGCATCTAAGAGCATGTTTAGCGCTAGTTGCTTCATGGGACGCTTAAAAGATTTTTTAATATTAAAGTTGTGTTAAGCACCACTATTAAACATTAGTAGTGTTCTCTACTCTAATGGGAGAATCTTATTGGGGTGCTTAAAAAAAATTGTTTGTTTGTCTGTATGTTTGTATGTTTGTTTGTCTGTATGTTTGGAATTGGTTTGATCATGATTGTAGTTGCATTCTTAGCAGAGGAACTGAATTTAAACTTCATTTGCAGGAAATACATTGAATTCTGAATGTATCACCACGCAAAAACATTAAGGAATCGCTGAAACTTCACCATTGTCTAAAGGAACATCAAGAGCTGTCCCTCTGTCATCAAGTTAAAGCACATCATCAGATTTCACCACAATCTCATCATAGCTCACACCACAACGATCACTTCCCTCATCGAACTCACATTGGCTCTTCAATCCTTGACCACATTTCTCTTGTTCGTTGCTGTCTGATTGACTAGTGTTCTCCGAGAAACTCTCATCAGATCGATAAGAGTTTTCAAGTTGTTTTCACAGCAGCTCCTCCTCTTCCATGAGAGCTGCAACAACATCCTGCCAAAATAAAAAACCAATAAGAGAACATAGCTAAATGTTATCTTCTTTCTTGTACCAATCAAAGATTTCGGTTTTAACTCGAAATCTCGACTTATGTTTCGGATACAGCAACAATGAATATTCTTGACCATCATAAAGCCTAACAAGATTTTGGTGACCAAACCAAATGTCTATTGAGATATTGTAGAGGCTCAATAATGTCTTTGCCACACGAAATCATTAAAAGATATTTAGATGGCTTATCCAGCAATGGCAGCTTATACGAGCTCCATCATTCCATATCCTGACTTTTTCTGATACTATTTGACTAAAAGCAACTAATGAGAACACGAGAGACTCAGAAACAGAGTGCTAAAACCCCCAAAATCCAACCTTAAACAAAGCTAATTAAGCTAACCACCTTCCACATCCAAGACTAGTTTAGAGAAACACGATTCAATAGAAATTCAGCACGCAATCGAATGAACTTAGAACTCATACTTTTCAGATTGGATCAAATTTGAGATTAAAAGCTCAACGAGAGCTCAATCATCGGAAAATTAGAAGAAAGGAGAGAGAGGGACGAGAAAGAAACGAAAGAGAAAAACTTGTTTTTTTCTTCTCATTAACCAACACCCAATCATTTTCTGCCACGTGGCAATGAGCACCGACGCTTGTCACGCCTAAATAAGCGTCGACTTCTCCATTTAAAATTGATTTTGATTTATTTTTGGGCTAAGCGTCCCCTGAAGCAACTCGCGTTAAACATGCTCTAAGAATCCGGAATACAAAGGTTGTAAAGAGGAAGATACGCCATTATCAGCTGCAACTACGTTGATGTCCATGAAGACCGATTTCAGTATGAGTGAAGAGAATGTGGATCGGATGTGCAGCTATGTGAAACGCCTACTGCGAGACGACAATAGTTTTCCAGCTTCATACTATGAGATCCAGAAACTCGTAGCTGGTCTTGGTTTGCCGTATCAGATGATAGATGTCTGTATCGATAATTGCATGATCTACTGGAGAGAGGATTCAGACCGTACGACATGTCGCTTTTGTGGCAAACTTCGGTTTAAGGAAACAAGTGGACGAGTACCAATCCCACATAAACGGATTTGGTATTTGCCTTTAACTGAGAGGTTAAAGAGGTTATATCAATCACAGCATATGGCGGAGGCTATCAGATGGCATGCAGAGCATACAATGGAAGGAGGACAAATTGTTCATCCGTCAGATGCAGAAGAATGGAAACGTTTTCAGTCAGTGTATCCTGAGTTTGTGTATGAGCGACAAAATGTATATCTCGGCTTAAGTAAAGACGGTTTCAACCCTTTTGGGAAGCATGGAAGACAGTATTCGTTGTGGTCCGTGATCGTGACACCATATAACTTGCCTCTGTCTTTGTGCATGAAGCGAGATTATCTGTTTATCACTATTCTTGTTCCAAGTCCAAATCATCCCAAGAAATCACTTGATGTGTTCTTGCAGCCACTTATTTATGAGTTACGGATGTTATGGGAGAATGGTGCTGAGAAGTTTGATGTTTCCTCCCAACAGAATTTTATGATGCGTGCGGTACTTATGTAGACCATAAGTGATTTTCCAGCATATGGGATGTTATTTGGATGGACCACACATGGAAGGCTATCTTGTCCTTATTGTCAACAAGTGTGTTCCATCTGAAACATGGACGGAAGACATGTTGGTTTGATTTTCATAGAGATTTTTTGCCGAGCGACCATCCATATCATGAAAGTACCACATTATTTAGAAAGAACATACAAGTATTTGATGATACACCTCCCGTTTTTGAATGTAAGTATTTGCTGGATCAACTCATAGATTATGGGGCTCAAAAGACAATGGAATGCGGTGGTAATGGGCATGTTCCAGTCCACAGTGTTGGCTCCAAACACAATTAGCACAAAAAATATATTTTGGGAGTTGCCATATTGGAAAGATCATATGTTGAGGCATAATCTAGATGTTATGCATATCGAGAATAATTTGTTCGACAACATCATGAACACTATTCTTAATGTCCAAGGAAAGACAAAAGACAATTTGAATTCCAGATTGGATTTGCCATCTAATTTCTCTCAAAGAAATCTGCATGTTGCAAGGAACGAAAGTGGCCCGATGTCTGTTTTCCAGTTGAAAGCGTCTGCAAAGAAAAAGTTCCTTGATTGGATTAAAGATAGTGTCAAATTCTCAGACGGATATACATCTAATCTACGCAATTGTCTTAATACTGGAGAAGGTAGGTTCTCGGGGATGAAGAAGAGTCATGATTGCCATGTAGTAATGCAGCGCCTTTGCTTTTAACGATCTTCTACCACGAAACGTTAATCGAGCAATTGCAGGTACAATAACTGTTTTTAATTATATTATATTACACTAATTATAATTCATTTATATTACTAATTTTACATTTGAAATGCAGGCATTGCAGCTTTTTCCGGGATTTGTGCTCGAGATCTCTTACACTTGAAGATATCAATAATCTAGAGGCGAAAATTCCTTTAATCTTATGAGGTCTCGAGAAGATATTTCCACCGTCATTCTTTGATGTTATGGAACACCTCACAATTTATCCCCCCCCCCGTGAAGTAGCACTTGGTGGCCCTGTTCAGTACCGATGGATGTATCCATGTGAGCGATTTATGTTCCATCTGAAGAAAAAGGTGAAAAATGAAGCAGAGTTGAGGGTTCTATTGTCGCATAGAGTATCAACGAAGAAACCTCAAACTTTGCTGAGTACTACTTTCCACCACACGTCATGACAAAGAGGGTTCTCGACCATTGACTTTTTTCGATAAACTCTCGGAAACGTTTTGCGATGGTTTCCGACGGATATTTGCGACGGTTTCCCGATGGCTCTCTCGTCCAAGGCTGGTGTGGATAACCTCTCGGGAAACCGTCGGTTTATTATTCCGATGGACTTCAATGACCTTTTCCGAAGAATTTCCGACGAGTTTTGTTTTTCCGACGACTTGTAACCAACAAATTTGAATGGTCGGAATTCCGTCGATAAACTGTGTTTCCGACTGGTGATCGATGATTTCTTCTGTCGGTTTGACGGTGCTTTCTTGTAGTGCTAACCAAGCAATCAATGACTAAGTGAATCTATGCAAGAAAACGATCGTAATACAGTAACTAACTGTCATGCACTCACCTTAATCCGTTTTGTTCGGTTTCGATCAGTGAAATCGGTCTAAAGTAAGTATTCTTCGATCACAGTAACATATCTCACTATCGGAGTCGAAGAACTCTCGGCTGCAGTAGCAGATTATCAATCGTGTCGATAGATTCTCGAACCGACTTTAATTCCTTGATCACGAACACAGATTACCGTTCGCGGATGTAACTTGGTGGACAAACTCTCGATCAATGTTGGATCAATCGACACATAACTCTGTGTTCAACCCTTATGTTGAATCCACTCGATCAAACTTACTTTCCCTCGGTCAAAACTCACTTTCTCTGGATCAAACTTTACTTCTATCGATCAATTCTCTCTTTTGCTCAATAACCGCTCTTTTCTCTCTATGAACTTGTGTTTCTCTCGACCATAATGAACTTCCCTCGTGATTATATCTGAGAAACTGTCCCATAACCATCAAATTAATGAAAAGCGCATTTGGTCGATGATTGTGGTCGAAGAGAATTCGCTTTCTAGTCGATAACCATTCCCGCCACAAGAATTAGTTGGGGTTCTTCGATCAGAATAATTTCCGTTCAATCGAAATCAACTGTTTTCGGACCGGTAACCGTCCTGTCTGAACACTGTCCATTTGAAACGACCACATCCCAGTTATGATCATATTAAACTCTACTTGATCGACTGTAATTCAATTGTCTTGACCAACTAAATTATCCAGCTTGAAACTCTCCAACACTTAGTAGTTTCAGCTCAGTTATTTCGGCACATTGGGATTCAACACATTTTCTCTACCAACTTAACATTTTGATCCTTTTTCTCAACTGTTCAGTCGATCAAAAATTTTACCCTTGATTTATGGATGTTACATACTGCTTCTATCCTTGTAGAAATGTTTCAAAGACCATTATTGTTATTATTTATACTAGATATTATACCCCGCACAAATGCGGGGTTGTTTTTCTGGTTAATCATTATTTAAATATTTTTTAAAATATGTTTGTATTGTTTTTGCTTTGTTGTTCTGAATAACACTGAAGTTTTGTAATTGATGTTACAGTTGTCTTTATTTTAAATGTTTTAGGTAAGATTTTTCCAAATATTCAACAATTGTTTTTATGATTAGTTTTAGTATTTGCATGAATTATATGATTAGAAAATTACCTTTTAAGTCGTGCTCTTTACTGTTTTCTATGTATATTTGACAATAGTTTTCTCTCCAGCCATTTAGAGTTTCCATATTATGTCTCTGTACTTTCGGCTTTTCTTTGTTCACATATAATACATTGTAACATATTGATTCTCAACCTAATTCAAAACTGTATACTTTATTTTTCATCTTTATGCATCAATGACTTGAGAGATAAAAAAATGGAATAACAATTTAAGTTTATAAGACTATTTTTAACATAAAATATATTTTTAATAACTTCATTACATTCTAAAACTTGTTATATGTATTTTCATTGAAAAATGAATATTTCTACTTTATTATAAACCTTTTCAAAAATAATTATATACAGTCACAAACAAACTTATAATTTTTTATCTCCTTATTCATTTGTAACTCTTAGAAAATCTATGTGTTTATTTATTATTTTAAACATGTTATTATTTTTATTACTTATAATTATATTTATATATTTTGAATTTTCAAGTTATGTGAAAAATATATCTTAAATTTTATAAATCATCTAATATCTATTCATTTTCTTATTTGATGGTTTTGTTATTTTATTTTGTGAAATATATTTTAGAATTTTTAGTAAATAATACTCCCTCTGTCCCATATTATAAGCTGTTTTGGTATAATGTATCTGTAATTTTTTGGATGTATCTAGATGTATTTGCATCCAGATACATCCAGAAAATTGCAGATTCATTATGCCAAAAGAGCTTATATTATGGGACAGAGGGAGTATATTTGATCTTAGGGAAATATAATAATAGAAAATATGTAAATTAATTGATTCATTAATTTTAGTTTTAATGTTTGTCATTTTTCATTTCTCATTTTCTCTCTCTTTTATTTCATAATTTATGATTAAATTTGGAATCCATAATTTCCATAAAATTAGGCTGATGTGGATAGCTTTAGAGGAAAAAAAACTCTCATGTGTTTTAAAACAAGGTCTCAACTAGGGATGTCAAAATGGGTCATTACCCATGGGTTAACCCTGTTGGACAAAAATTTTAATGGGATTCGGTTAAATGTTTTTACCCATATAAATAAATGGGTTACAGTGGATTGACCCTAATAGTCCCATTAGGATTATGGATTATAAGTATATCAAATATTCATAAATTTATCACTTAAAATATAAAACATCCATAAATTTATCATTATAAATATAAACATATGGTTTTATTTTATGTTTTATATAATTATGAGTGATTTTTTTATTACACAAATATTACTATTACTATGAATTTTTAGTTGAATTATTAATAATATATATTATGTTTTAAGAAAATATTACTCATTTATTGTCAAAATAAAAAACAAATCCATTACTCATTTTCTATATATATGAATATCTATATAACCCATTTAACTCATGGGTATTAACATACTTGAGTTTGGATTCTAAATTACAACCCACAAAATAAATGGGTCGGGTCATAACCTGATCCTATAATCTTCAAACCCGTATGAATTAGGGTCGGGTCGGGTGACCCATTTTGATATCCCTAGTCTCAACGGCCGATTAAGCGGTGGCGAAACACTCGGCAATGACCAACCATTCACCAAAATCAAAGAAAAAATTGGATAAAAACTTAGATGTCAAGTATTACGTATTTTATTGCTTGAAATTGAAAGTGTCATTTTGGGGTGACATTTTTGTGAAGAAACTAGGGGTGGGTATTTGGATTATTGGGTGGGGTATTTTGGGTTTCGGGTATTTGGTACTAAGGGAAAAGGATATGTTTGGGTAATTATAAATTTTGGATTGGGTTTGTTTTGGTTCTCTTCGGGTCCGGGTTATTACCAGGTATATTTTTCGGATTTAAAAATACTTTCGGTTTGGATTTGGTTCTTTTACTTTATCACTAAATGTATCCGGTAAATAATCAAAGTACATATAATATCTGAAAATCCACACCAAAAAAAAAAAATTGAAAATATCTGAAAACAGTTGGAAGTAGCAGTTGAATTAGGTTGGGCATTTTTACCAGACCCGAAGATCTGAACCGAATCCGGTCCAAAACAGATGAAACCAAACCCTCGAGTGGGTTCTAAACTCCTATACCCAAAAGAACTGAAACCGAACCGAGAACCAATTGGGTACCCAAAATATAATTATATACCAAAAAATGCTAGTTATATTTATACTTATCAAAATATCTAAAATTACAATTATAATTAAACCTAATACAATAGTTATATTTAGAACCAAATAACCAAAATATTCTACACATACGAAAATCTTTAGTTATATTAATATTCAATATTTATTCAAAATTTGGTTTTTTTTAAACAAAGTTTGGATATCAGGAACCAATCCGAATCCGGCCGGACTCGACCTGAAAATGAAAATACCTAAATGGTTCATAAATTTCAAGAACCGATAGAAACCAACCTGAAACCAACATGAAAACAAAACAAATGTCCAGGCCTAACTTGAATAAACAAATACTCATGTGTTCTAAAAGACTTAGGTGTGAGGAGACTTTTTACAACTTAGTTGTCAATGAGTCTCATTTTAATCACTTATTTAAATTATCATCTTAAAAAATATAATATAATATAATTTCAACTACTTTATTCAGCAGTCATTGTCAACATCTACTTGTCTAAGAAGTCTGGTCTTCAATATAAAGCCCCCTCAAAAGCCGTCTCTTTCGCATAACCAACTTTCTTCTTCTTTTTCTTCTTTCTCTCTCTCGCCTCTCTACTCTACTCTCTGTTTCATATTGCGAAGAAGATGATAGATTCATTTTTGGCGTTGGTCAATAAAACTTCTTCAAATTCTTTATTCATGTTCATTTTCTGCAACTTTATCATCATCTTAATCATCATTGGCAATTATAAACCGGGTTCGGAAGACAAGGAAAATCCCGGTCTGCAGGAACCAATGATGATACCTGACTCGGTTCTCTCTTCCAATTCCGGTTTTGAGAAAGCCATGTTGAAATCAGGGTCCGATCTCTCTTCAAAATACGGTTTTGAGAAATCCGTATTGAAATCAAAACCGGTTATCTCTTCAAAATTCGTGGTTCCCGCTTCAAAGCTCGGTTATCAAGAACCCGTGTTGATCTCCGAGCCGGTTCTCTCCTCCAAACCCGCTGGTTCTGACCAAACGTTGATCTCCAAACCCGGTTTGCAGATAATGTCTTCTGGGTTGAAATCCGGTTCAGACATTTCAGAGAAGGACGAGAAAGGGAGAACAAAGCGAACAGAGAGCTTTGAAGAGAATGAGGGACAAGTGGAGTGTGTGCTTCGAAGAAGAGTTGAAGAATTTATAAGTAAAGTTAATACTCAATGGAAATTAGAGAACACTAAGTATAATTATCTCTTATACTAATCAGAGTTTTGTTATGTAATTATTAATGGGAATCAAAAGTTAATAGAAATGAGTAAGTGAAAACACTTTTGTAATTCTTTTCTGCTTACCTAAACTATAACCAAAACCAGATTAAATCAAATTAAATAAAAATTAGAGAAATTTTGCTATAAAACAAATGGATAAAAGCAAAATGAAGCTGACACCAAAACCTAGAATCAATAATGTCAGTGAGCATATCATATATATGTTCTGATCCGATTCAACAAGGATTTTGTTTGATTAATTTGCAGCTATAGTTCTCCAATAAAATTAGGCCAAAGATCTTGCAACCAGCCAGAAAAAGCATCAAATAAAAATTGTATCAAAATATATTATACATATGCATGAGTCGCACAAATTTGAGCAGTTTAGTTTGGTTGGTAGAAATTGCAATTTATTTATTTTATGGTTAGTTCGACAGAGAGGAAAAAAAGAATCTTTCTTCTAGTTAAATCCATTAGTCAAATCCATTAGTCAAAAAGGACTCTCTCTCCTCTCTCCAAAATCTTTTAGAGAGAGTACTATCAAAATAACTTTTTGTCTTCCGATGTTAATCGGATTGTTGTATTCCATTTTAATCGGATTTTTCTTTCGGTGTTAACCGATTTCTTTTCTTTTGGCTGCAATAATTTTCCGTTTAACGGATTAGGTTTCTAGTCTTCCTTCTACATGTTCTTAAGCTTCTCTCATGGAAGGTGAAGCCAAAATCCGGAGGTGTTTTGAGTGGAATCCGTTTCATTGGTGCATGCTTGATTCTTTTTTCAAAGGAGAGTAATTTCTTCACAAATCCGATGTAGGATCAATGTTGTGAAGTTTCTCTTTTTGATTGAAGAATTAAGTTTTGGGGATCAGTTCGTTGGATTTGGATAAGGATAAGCAGAGTTGGCGTTTTCTCGGCAGTCGGAAAACGGTCCGACAAATGTCCTGATTTTCCGATCTAATTGAAGATCTCGGGTTTTCTACTCTGATAAATTTGTGAAGATCCATCAAGTTTCCTTCGATGATTAGTGCAGACGGAAAAAGCAGAGATACACAAAACAAGTTTCGTGATGGTGGTGGTCGGAGAGCTTCGCCGGCGGATGTACCGAGGAACTGGTCAACGGCGGTGAATGCTTCGTGTGTTTCGTTAGTAAACCAAGTGATGCCACGTCTCTAAAGCGTGTTTCAATAGCTAGCGTATAAAGCGGATTACTTAGGTTTTGTTATATGTTTGGGCTATTGTTGGGACTCATCTGAATTTGTGTATCACTGTACTTGCCCATTGGGCTTCTATAATGAAATGGTTGAAAAAAAAAAAAAAAAAAAGTCATTAGTCAATAAAAGACAAAGTTAACAGATGAATAAATCCGACCAAGATGATATGATTTGCTAGATCAAATTGATTTATACAGATTGTATTAAAACGCTTGCCAACTAAGGACGGTATTTAAACATTTTCAATTGTTTACTTGAAATTGTGCAGAAACTTCTCTGTGCAACTTTCTATATAGAAAAAAAAAACATCCACTAATAAAAGTCCAATTTCTTTGTAGATATAGATCAAATGTCTACAATTTTGTTTTATGAAATTATGTAATTGAGTTGTGTTATAGTGGAACGAGTTCGTTAATTTATATAGAGATAAAAAATAAGTGATGTGCATAGCAACTGTGAGCTCGACATAACAAAGCTTTATTACCCAAACATTTCACTTACACCTAGATCTATTGTTGACATGGCAATGCCACTCTTTTATTTCTCTTTATTTTTTTTGCTAATGATTCAGAATTTTTAAATTAAGAATGTACACGCAATAGTCATTTTCTTTGATACAAGTGGAAAAAAACGGTGAACTAACAAAATATCTAGCTGCACCATCATGTATTTATAACTAGTAGAATTCAATAACTAGTGCGTTTTAAAGTAGCATAGATACATAACAATGTAGATAGATACACCATTGTTTACAAATCGAATAGTTGTAGAATCTACATAAATTCTCTAAAGACGAATCAATAACATTCATTTGAGTAAGTTTCAAAATGCTCATTGTTGACAAATCGAGTAGTTGTAGAATGAAGATAGATTCTCTAAAGACGAATCAATAACATTCATTTGAGTAAGTTTCGAAATGAAGTAACTAACTGAAGAAGAGAGTTTGAACAAACATTAAGTTTTGCACTTGTACAACAAACCACTTAAGGGACAGAAAGGAAACAAGTCAAAGAACCCTAGAGATTACATCCTCTAATAAACCCTAACTTTAGTGAGAGATCTCTCTCAACTGTTTTAAGAAAACAATTAAAATCTGAAGAAAACACGTTACACTCTAAAAACTCTGAATGCACCAAGAAAAGATAAGAAAAGAAAAAGAAAAAAAACATAGCAGCAACTTGAGATGAAGAAAGATTGGTGTCATATTCACTCACTCAAATCATCAGCTTGGAACCTCGGTGTCAGATTCGCTATGGCCTCCGAAATCTTCATCATCCTCACCTTCATCTTCTTCCTCATCTTCTGGAAGAGAAGAGAAGAGATCTTTGATATGGTTAGCTGTGCTATTTGTGTAGTAACCCTGGACCGCGTTAGTGCTTGGCTCATGCGAAAACGTCATAGGTGGTGCCTGAATAACAACAGGCTTGTTGAGTCCATATCTAGCCTTTGGATCTTCCGCTGAGCCACCAAATGAGATGTTAGAAGCTTGTGTTGTTACAGGGATCCCGAGTCTCTCCCTTCTTTGCTTCTTTATCGGCTGCGATTCCTCCTGACCGGCTACAAAAGTCCCTACCATTACCTGGAATATAGATGATAACAATGCTTTAAAACAATAATAAAACTCGAGACAAACACTTCATATTCATTCCAAGTTATATACCTGAACAGGACCAGCGGCTATGAAGAGACCGGCGAGTCCTCCACCAAAGACACGACCATCTGGTCCTGCAAGAGACACACTCATCCCACCAGCTCTGCTTCGGGTTCCTCCACTCTCGCTTTGAACAAATGATCCCGTCAAAGAAAGAATCTCAAAATGACCCTGACCACAAATTGTTAGCTAAATTCAGCAAAAAGAAATGGTTTGGAAGAATCTAAGAGAGAAAGAGAGAGCAGACCTCGTAAGTGACAGTACCACCAGATGTCAGAGGCTGACGAAGTGTAACATTCGAAATGGGACCATTTGCTGACAGAATGCATATAGCACGAGAGCCTTGTTGAGAGAATGTCATTATCTTCATCGTCACATCCTGTTAAAGAGTCAGCGTGTGCCAAAAAGAGTTAGAAATCTTGTAAGAATCTCTCAACATTTAAGCTTCATAGTGACATACATACCTCGCCGGCGTTTACTGTAAGCACATGAGGCGTAAAACTCGCACTCGCCCCAACAAGTTCTGCAGTTCCTACAACTGCAAAGTAGATAAACATCCGAGTGAATCGGATAAAATAACAATAACAAACACACCAAATGACCAAGAATAGTTGCCAAATTGTACAAAATGCAAACAGTCAAAGTTAAATCCTTATGCAAATGAAACTAAGACTAGTCTTGTACTACATTTGCCACTCTCAATCAAAGAATCCTACAGGTTTCCTTTATTGCATTCTTCTTCTTCTCATTTGGGCATTTTCTCTTGGACAAAATCTAGCTTTTTACTTGACAGTAATGTCGTTTTTCATATTGGACAAAATCTTTGTCTTTATTGCAACTTTTTTGCTAGTCAAACCAAAGACAAAGAGATTCAATACGGCATAAGATCTAATCAAAAGGCCATGCATTGATTCTTACAGAGACTAAAAATTCCCAACAAGAAAGAGTTGTGAGATTTTACCAGGAGGAGGATTGTTGTCGAATTCGAACATCTGTGGATTCTTAAGCCAATTGTTGTTGTTGTTGTAGTTGTTGTTGTTGTTGTTACTGGGCGGCTCTCCTCGTCCTCGTCCTCTTCCTCTCCCTCTGCCTCTTCCACGTCCTCTTCCTCGTTTCCGAGAAGCAAACTCCGTCGTCAGAGGAACGGAGGAGGAGATTGGCATCGGAGAAAGAGTCACGGCCAGTGAGCCATCGGTATTATACTTTCTCGGCCTCCCTCTCTTCTTCTTCAATTCAGAGGACGAATTCTCCACCGGCATTGTTAAGCTGAACTGAGGAGCTGCATTCTCAGTCACCCCTTTAGCCGCCGCGACGGAGGCGGATGCGACGGCGGTGCCGGCTAATCCCGCCGGAAAGGGATTAGGGTTTTCGGACCGCGGTGGGTCCATATGGTAGACCCCACCAGGAGGAGGAGGAGGAGGAGCTTCATGGTGTTGTTTCAGACCAAAACTGGTTGTCATGTTGTTGTTGTGGTGAGTTCCTTCTCTCTCCTCCATCCGTAGATTCTGTAAAGGAGAGAGATTCCGACAATTAAGGAGAACCTTAAGAAGACAATCGAATCTTGCTGATCACGACAGATTCAAGCTTCACTTAAAGTACAGACAAGAGAGAGAGAGAGAGATCCAGAGGACGTAAGATTCAGAAGAGTAAAAAAGGGGGAAAGAGAAAGATGAAGTCTTTGCAAAGTGTAAAATAAAGTAAAACTTGGTGAAGAGAAAAGAGAGATCAAAGCTTCTTCAATGGCGGAACCTTAATTTCAGAAGAACTTCTCCTAAGACATCCGTAATTACCAGCAAAAAAAAAAGGGTTTTGTTTTTCTTTTGTTTTTCTTTTCTACGAGGTGGGTGAAGATGTTTAGGGAGAAAAATTCTTTTACAGATGTGAGAAATTAGGGTTTTCAGAGAAGAAAATGGTAAGAGAAATAAATATTTTATAAATATTTTTTTTTTAATTAAATAATTCAGAGGAGAAGATATTATTACATTCATTTTGATTTTATTAAATTAAAAGATGGAAAAAAAGGAAATAGAGAGAAAGATGAGAAAACAAAAGTGTAATTCGAAAAATATTGTAATAATGGGCTTAATTAAAAAATTTCAAAATACTTACAATCCGCTCCCAACAAAGTCTTGGAATTTGGGATACAGCTTAAGCTAGATTAGTTTAATAAAATGAGTAGGGGCAAATTTTTAATTAATATAAATTGGACTTGAGAGCGCATAGTCATCTACTTCTTTCTTTTCCCAATCTACCAACGTTGACTATGACCAAAACATGTTGACCAACTTAGCCTCCCAAATCCCAACTACAAAATCTCCGGTCTGGTCCCTGCCACTAGGAGTGGTATGGCTCCGTAACCATATTATCCATTCTTTTACATTCGGATAGATGATGATACTAGATTTTAGGGTGAATCAGATAGAGAGATGTTCAATTTAAGACAGAACTTAAGTAGATAATTTTTTTGGTTTTTCTTTTATGTTTTCGCCTTTTCGGTGGTAAAGAAGATACTCAAAAGTGGCCTAATTGATAACAAAGGAAGCACGGCTCTGCTTTTTTGTTTCAGAAAATTATGGAATAACCTAAATATATATAAATATCAAATAAATTCATATATATATATATATATATATATATCAAATGTTCTCGAAGAGACATTATCGAGTAAATAAAAAAACTCTGAAGAAATTTTGAATAATGCGAAGTTGTCAAATTTACAAATGACGTTGACTAGATGTCCGCAAAAGACCCTTTGGACTGAAAAGGGCTTTTCTTGTCTGTCTCGAAGAAACCTTATAAAATGAGTACTTAAAAGAAAAAAGCCAATTATATAATTGACCATTTTACAAACCAAACCACATTCAATTTGAGTTTTAAGAAAAGAAAAAAACAGGACTGAAATCAAACGTGGTGAATCAAAGAGTTAGATTCTTGTTGTAGCATGAAGGCGAGTCTTCGTTCCTCAAAGGAGTACTCAAGAACCTCAGGCTTTTCTGGCAGCAATCTCGTATTGGTGTTGAGTGGTGTTGGTGCGGTTTGCATCCGGACAGAGACTGTCGCTGGTGTAGATGGGATGGGAATCATGGCTGCAACATTCTTCGGTGTTTGCATCATCATCATCATCGCCATCATCTTCTCTTCTTCCAAATTCTTGTTCTTGACGGGAGTTGCAAGAAGTTGTTGTTGTGCTGTTGTTGTTGCTATGTTGGCCTTTGATGCAATCACAGTGGTCGAAATGGGTGAGAAAGGTTTGCGAACTAACGGAGACTGTAACATTTCACAAGGATTCATCGATTGTTTTCTTGTAGCAAGTCCAGCAATATCAAGCCCTCTTCTTCCTGTAAAGATTCATTCATCATCAAGAAATCTACTCAACACTATGACGATGATGATGATCAATATTCAATAGCCAAATTTACCAGTTGATAAAGTTCCATCGATCTGGCGTTGGTCTGATTTCTTGTTCGGTTTAGGAGTCTGATGCATCGCTGCTCCTAAGGAGAGTCTACGGTTTGTTGGTGCACCACCTGTTGACATTCGTGGAGCCTTTTTACCACCGAGTGGTTTTGATGGGCTCGGTTTCGACCCGTAAAGTGCCTCTTGTTCTGCTATGAGCTGTCCTTGGAGCTTCTTCTGGTCCTTTAATACGTAGAGAAAAACAGTTCCATTACATTGGAGTTTAGACTAGGTAGATGATGATCATAATAGATATTGTACTTACCCGTTGGCGACGGTGTTCTTCTTCTCTTTCCTGCCTGAGTAAATTATACTCCTCAAGCATAGAGAGTAGACGGATCTACACCAAGACAAAAAGAGAATTACAATAATAAACACTAGTCAACTAAAACCAGTAAGAGATTTTATCGAGAATCCATACACCATCATAAAGAAACTCAATTCCCTTCTCTTGTTCCCAAACTATTGTCTTCGAGGCCAGAGCTTCTACCATTCCTGAATGAATGAAAATGAAATGATACTCATAATCTGCCTCAGAGCATAAATATTTACAACATATTGATAACAAGAAAAAGGAGTAACTTACCTGGAAGTTTGTTAACAAGATTACGAGCTTTCTCAGCACGCTTGAGAGTAAGATGAGCTCCTCGTCCAGCATTGTATCTGTTATCGTCCTGTGGAGTGAAAAAAAAAAGAAAGGAAATATCAGGAAAGTGTAACGAACTTTAGGACTTAAGTAAGAAAGGTTTCTGTGGTTGAGTCTAACCCTGTTGTATTCTTCAAGCCAACTTTCTTCATCGCAGGCAGATAACCATTTCTCGACCTTCTCAAGAATCTCTTTTCTGCTCAAAGCTTCCTCTTTGATCTTAGAAATGTGTTGCTCAAGGTGTTCCAAGACCATCGTTGCATCCACAATACCAGATTCAATCGCCACTATAGTCTGATCTATGGCACTGTCTGACACTGGTAACATGTGCGTTTTCCTACATATGTCCTCTAGCTCTGACCTTTTCTTCAGAACAAGTTCTTTCATTTTGCTTGCCTTTACCTCGTCCAATCGTACAACCTCTGCCTCAACCTGTATATGGCAATGGAACTCATGTTATGGACATCAAAAAAAACTTCCATTAACTTCTAAGCTTGATCGCAGAGTTGTAATTCAACAGCTTACATATTTAATGAAGTCTTCAGAGAGACTATTAGCTTCAGTTATTTCATGCTCTGATGCAGCTATATTGCAGGTGATATGCTGATACTCTTGCTGCTCTTCTATCGGTGTATCCATCAAATTCCAGAGCTCCAACATTGTCGTTGCTAGATCTTGAAGCTTCATCAAATTCAATATGCAACTAACTATGAGCAACAATCAAAGAATAAAACTATACATAATTCGCCATGTAAAATCAGTTACCTTCTGCATTCTCTGTATCTTAACCTCCCTCAGCTTTTGAACTGCAGCCCCCAATTTCTCTATCGTGTGATCGCTTAAGCTTCTTGGTCCTTCTGGATCACTCAATGTTGGATCTACTTGGCCAACAACATCATTGAAGTCCATTCCAAGTACTGAGCAATGTGAATACAGAGAACACATGTGTTTCCGAATTGTCTCCACACGATCACTCTGAGTTAAACAAGAAGAAGAAGAGTAAATAACTGAAATGGTGGGAAAAACCAAACAAAACAGAAGAAGCTAAATTCAAATCAAATTTCACCTTCTCTTTCTGAAGTGCTTGCAGCTGACAGTGTAACTCTTCAAGCTTCCTCATAGACAAGTCAGTCTCATCGATACGTGGCTTGGAAAGAACAACATGTTCTCCTTGACCTTTAATATCATTAGTAATGCTAACTATTTCTTCGAGGACAAGTAAGAACTGGTTTCTTCTTTCAGTTTTCCTCTTTTGCATTTCTTCAAGCTCAGGAAGAATCCTCCCAAGCTCTTGTTTCAAGCTACCAACGGTTTGATCACACTGACGACACATACAAAAAGAAGGTTAAGGTTGACAAAAAGACGGACTAAGTTTCAGCAACAATATGTATGATTCCTAATCATATTACTCACTTGTCTAATATGCACAGGGCGTTCTCCCATTGCAGAACAGATAGCAGCAAGTTCTGCTTCAGCATCAGCTATTCCTTGTCTAAGCTGAGCTCTACATCGATTGGCTTGGTCAACTTTTCTTCTGTATACTTCCAAGCATTCACGTTCAAGCTCAAGCAACATCTTATCTCTATCAGTTTCTGTTTCCCCAACTTCATCCCAAATAATCTGATTTTAAGAAGAAACAAATTAGCATCTCATAAGGAACAAAAGTTTGAAGATGATAAAAGATCATATGGAAGACTATCATCTTTCACCTGAAGCTCGTATAAGAGGGATCCACATGTTGTCTCTACTTGAAGAATCGGATCTTTTTTCATACTTTCCATTTCGAAATGCTTCAGTCTGTTGACAAGAAGAAAAAAAGCAACCCTTACTATGCCATTCCCAAATATAGCAACGACGAATCTGGAGATCTAACTGAAGATAATTAGCATTTCAACTCCGAATCAAACAATGAAATTACACCGTTGTTTCAGCTTGAAATTGATTTAAACCCTAACTATGTCATTCCCAAATGTAGCAACGACGAATCTGGAGATTTAATTGAGGATAACTAGCATTTCGACTCCGAATCAAACAATGAAATTACACCGTTGTTTCAGCTTGAGACTGATTATAACCCTAATCGACTTTTGACACTCCGAAGAAAACAATTCAAATTCATTTGGCGAAAAATTTTTGAAGCCGGGATTAAACAAGAAGTAAGAGTTCTCAAACACGGAGAGGAGAAAATTAGAGAAACAGTTGCCTGAAACTGGAGATTTCTCGAAGACTTTCCAGAATTGATAATTTGAAGTTTGATCTGTGCGAGTAAATTGGAAGAAGATCGAACAGAGCAAATTCCTAGATTTTCTGAGATAGAGTACAAATTTGGAAACCTAGATCGAAGTTTCTGTAGAGATCGAAGAGAAAGAGACGAGAGAGAAAAATGTAGCCGTTAAAGGGCGATGAGAAGAGAGAGAGATAGAGAAAGATGATGATGACAAGATTAGGAATTTCCGTCCGTTACCGGAGCAGCTCTTCTAATTGTTAAAATTGGGCCTTCCTTTTCGAACTTTTGAATTTCGAAATTTTGGGGCCACAATCCAGTGCATCGCGCTTTGAGTATAACAATTAATCTCAACCGTTAAGATAGTACTCCCTTCAACGGTTGAGATCGACTTTCTAAAATAAAGCAAAAACCAGGAAATAATTAAGGAAAAGATTCCAAATTTTCAAAACTTTGCCAAAAAAACAGGAACTCTTGGAAGTCATAATAAACCTCAACTTTTTTTGCTGATTTTTTATTTAATCATAAACTGAGCCAAAATAGAGACACTGTGACAATACGATTTGATAGCGTTAATTGCCTATTTTAAACTCGATTAAACTAATATGATATTATTTTTCTAAATTCCAAAATTTGACTCTACAAACCCTAAAATTTTAAATCAATCTTGCATATGAACATTGAAGTGGAGCATGATATCGTATAAGAATGCTTATAATGAAAATGGATATTTGGTTGAGAGAGAAATCAAGAGATGCAAAATCGATTTTTATAGTTTGTGAAATCGATTTGGGAATTTTTGCTCACAAAAACAGAGAAAGGAAGAGGATAAAATTCTTTTGGAATTTTAGAGTTTATGAACTTGATTTGAGAATTTAAGAAAAAAACATTTTAGTTTAACACAATTTAAGATGGCCAATATGGTTAAATCCTCCAATCAAGCCACCATATGTCTATTTTGACTCCATCATGACTTAATAGAGAACTAGAGGTTGACATGCGCCCTGCACACGATTTCTAAATTTGCATTTTTTCTAATTGTTTCTTTCACATCAGCATATGTATTTAACTTTAAAAATGTAAATTTTATTTTTATTAAAATGTCTATTTAATTATCTTGCTTTTTTGCAACAGAATTTTTAATTTGATATTAGTTTATATTATAGAAATTAGGCGTATTAAACTATTTTTTTTAAAGGTGGTATTTGTCCCTTTATGGCACATGTAATGATACATTGAGCATAATCTTATATATAATAGGAGAGTTGCTCTCTCCATCTAGGCTATCCACATCAGCACAAATGTTCATTAAATTGTTTTTAAGATATTTAATACATAACTATTCATATTTCTTTACATATATTATATTTTAAATATAAATAAAACTAAGAAAAATACACAACTAAATTACTTAACTAATATAAAGTATGTGATAACTTGATGTTAAAAGTTATCAAAAAGTTTGAATATAAGTAAAAATATATTTAACTTGAAATGGTATATATTTACCTTTTTATTAAAAGGATTTATCCTATTTCAAAATGTTATAATGTGTTTATAAGTTAAAAAATTGAATATAAATTAATTAAGATAATAAAAAACTAATGAGAAATTAGAGTTAGATTTTGCTTTTTAAAACAAATAGAAGTCGAGTTTTTATATGTAAATTTAATTGCAGTGAAAACATGAAAATTTTAAGGATTGTGATATGTTTGTTTCAAAATATATTCAATTACAAAATTAACATAATAGAAAATAATCAATGGTCATGAGCTCATATGCTACCACAACAAAGTAGATATGTAAAAAAGTATATATATTATTTTTTTCATCTTATTTCGGTGCAAATGCGATTTTACATTATACTTACAAATTTTAACGTTGAGTCAAATACATATGCATGTTTATAGTCTAACAGAAGTAAACAAACATAATATTTATAACATGCTAAAATGTTAAAAATAGAAAAATAAAATAAAAGGATGTGAGATGTGAGATAAAATATAAATAAAACTAAACAAAAAAACTATCGCAAACAACCCCGCGCTTGCGCGGGGCTTCAAACCTAGTGGTTTTAATTATAAGTGCCATGTTTCCTCCTTCTCTAATGAGATTAACACATTATTCTTACTTCTCTTCTTTTTATTTTGTTTTTGCATTTGAGAGTACAATATAAAAAAAAGATTCACGAGCTTATTAACTGGGTGTTACAAACATAAGAAGTATGCAGTTTTATCATGGAACTCAAAACATTACACAACCATCACACTTCGAGCGTTTACAAAATTAAGGAAATAGATAATATTTCGACTGTGCAAATCTAGTTTTCCTTAATTCTTGTTTCTTTGTATCATTATAATAATCAGTTGCCTTATTGTAAAAATTGCGTTCCTATAATATAATCTTAATTCTGAAAATTTTCGTTTTTGCTTATTGCACTAATGAACAATGATTTTTGAAACAACCAAACCTTTTTTTTTAATAATTAAATACTAAACAATTCTAGCGGAAGTCTTTAAAATAAATTTCATAAATAATTAAAACAATTCAACAGTATTCAGCGGAAGCAAATAAAACAATAAATAATTCTGGCAACTAAAACACCATGTCCAACTAGCAACTTAGGGTCTGACTGGTTTAACCGCTGCGGTTGCGGTTGCGGGTGCGGGAGTTTGCGGAAGCGGGCGGTTGTGATTAGTAGCGTTATTAAGCGGTTTGTACGACTGGCATAACAATTGAAAATGGATGCGTTTGCGGGATACTTATGACTGGTTCACTTGCGGATGCAATAGCGGTTAAACAATAAATTAATAATATAAACACATTATATAATTATAAAAATATCAAAACTATATTATAATGAAAATTTTAAATTTATGGTTCAACATAATTAAAAATAATTTTTTTATAAAGAATAATATGTGTATAATACTTACGTCTATCTTTTAATTTCTATAATTTAAATAAAAAATGTGATTTTATTTTCAAAATATATATTTAATGTGAAAATTAAATTTATTTTACAATTTTATTTATTAGATATATATGTATTAGTATGAAAAGAATATTTATCAAGAGAATTTTGATTTGTAGAACTTATAAATATATAAGTATTATATGATTTTAATGAATATTGACTAAAAGTACTAATTTTTTATTTATATTGTGATTTTATTATCCAAATCTTATTTTTTAATAAATATTATTATTTATTTTCGGATTTTATATAAGTTTGTGTTTTTTTTTTTTTTAATTATCCACCCGCAACCGCCCGCAACCGCAAACGCTTGCGGAAAGGAGCTTTTGATTTTGAGGGTGTTGAGGGATTTGAGCGGTTTGAAGCGGTATAAAGCGTTTGTGGTGATTGTTGTCAAACGCCAATAACCACTACTACCCGCAAACATTGCGTTTATGATCTATCCCTCTAATCACCAAATGTTCTAATATCGTCTCTAACGATTGATGGTACACATTACGACAATGCATACACGGACAGAACATGTGTGCATACGCAAGACTAGCCCTACCTTTCAATGAAAACAACAATCACTAGTTTATAATCTGCACATGTTTAATCAGGAATCAAAGAAGATATGAATAGACAAACAAAGTCGTACCTTGGTAACTAGCCCAAGCTTTATCCATGATACAATAGCTCCGAGGAAACGTGCATACAAGTATTGTATCACATATAATGCATTAAATCATAGAAACAGTATGAAACTTAGATCGAAAGCGTGAATCTAAACGGAGAAATATACCTCTCGGAGTTTATTCACCTTTGCGAGTATCTTAAGCTATAGCCTAAATCTATCATAGTGTTTCTCGAGATTGCTTTGCTATTACAGAATATATGTAAAAATGAAAATGAGACACGAATATTAAAAATTACTCAGATTATATACTATAGGGTTTATTAATAGACAAACACTACATAAATGTCAGGGGTAAGTTTAAAATAGCAATAGTGCAACAAACGCTATCTTTTAGTGTTATGAAAACCGAATATTCTTGTAGTGGTAGATTAATTTCTCGGATAAACACAAAGGACCAATCAAGGATTTCCCGAGATTGAGGAAGAAGCTGAACGGAGCTGGACATTGAAGGTTCGTTTGGAAAACTAGAGATTCTATATATTCTTTGTTTAATTATAATTGCTTGTTGGAGATGGTGTTTCATGTGATTTGATCTATAATTGCTTGTTCCTAGATAGTGTGTTTCATGTGCTTTGCTTTAGAATTGCTTGTTCATAATTGATCCTTTCTCATCAAGCTGATTTCCAAAATATATTGCAAAAATTATTTCTTTCTATAATTTATTGCAAAAAAAAATATCTTATATATAATTAGGGAGTTGCTCTCCTCTAAGAGTGTCCACATCAGCAAAAAAGTTCATTAAATTGTTTTTAAGAATTTAATAATGACTATTCATATTTCTTTTCATATATTTATATTTTAAATATAAATAAAACTAAGAAAAATACACAATTAAGTTACTTAATTAATATAAAGTATGTGATAACTTGATGTTAAAAGTTATCAAAAAATTGAATATCAA